CTTAAAATTATTCTATTTTCAACAATACTCTGGCCATCAGTTTTATTAAAACAGAATTTCGGACACCACACAATTAGTCAAGATGACTTTTAGCGCAAATTTGTTTGGCCATTTTTTACTATTGAATTAACTTAATAACATGTTATCAATGGAAAATAGAAAAATAAACTAAAATCGGTTTTCATTAGAGTAAAACTTATGTCCTAAGTTACTACTGCTTACTGTCAATCAAGAACAAATTGTACGAACATTACCTTATAGGCGATATGTTACATACAATGTTAAAACTTTATTGAAATATTTGGCATAACACATATTTAGTAAAATTCAAAGTACAATATCTTCATTAAAGTACAAGTTAGGCCTTCATTTCTAGAATCCCCATTTTTGAAAATCCTGAATCCGCTACTGAGATGTACAGTCATACAGAAAGACATAAAATTTACAAGTAGGCTGAAATTAAATGATTCTTCCACATTACATTTCAAATATTCCGCTCCTGTCCCGTAAACTTTCACTTAATTACCTTGGAAAATTCTATAAGTCAGTTGATTTTAGCTTGCATCATGAATATTCAGGGATTATGACATCCAAACCTTTATCAACAACCAAATATGACATCACAAACTATGATGTAGCGGTTTTAGTGTTTATTGGATCTATATTCCAAGAGTCCCCTTTACACTGTCTAGTGATATATATAAGCCGTTTAACGAAGTGTGAAGACCCTTTCACACTGTTTAGTGCTATATATATAAACCACCAAACGAAGTTGATCGCCCTTTCACACTGTCTAGTGCTATATATAAACTTCTAACGAAGTTGGAAGATTCTTTTACACTGTCTAGTGCTATACAAAAACCGCCAAACGAAGTTGGAAGACCCTTTTACACTGTCTAGTGCTATATATAGGAAGATCCTTTTACACTGTCTAGTGCTATACAAAAACCGCCAAACGAAGTTGAAAGACCCTTTTACACTGTCTAGTGCTATATCGAAGATAATATGCTGTGGCATAATCTCATATAATTTCTAAATTAGATTGGCGCAATTAAAACGACAGACAGAAATTAACAAAAGAGCCTGTCTATAAGGAAAACTTTAATATTCTATGTTCCTTTGTAATAATTTTAAAAAAAAAATCTTTTGTGTTTTATACATTACAAACCTTATAATTTGTTTGATAAATGTAATTTTTTTTCTTTTAACTATTTTAGAAAACAATGTTTCTTATATTTTTATTATTATATTTTCAAAAGAAAGAAACATAGACAAATATATTCTCATCGTTTTATAAAATGAAAGGTTACTCCCGTTGAAAGTAAAACTGACCGTTTTCACACTCTAACAGTGCACTGAATCCTAACTTAATTTACATAAACGCTGGTGACAAATTATATTTCAGTTATATTAAAGCTTTTAATGCAGTCACGCGGGTAACAGAAGCAAAGCTAATTGTGTTTGCAGTTTCTGTGTTGAAATTCGATTTGATTATTTTCACATTAGACATCAAATGTTACGACACAGAGAGTATTCAAACAGCCAATGCAATTCTCTTTCTATAAAATGATACAGTGATTTCAGTATCACGGTTAATGCAGACTCTTGCTTTGAAATTTGAACTAAGTGATTGTACTTTCTATATCGTATTAATATTCTATTCCTACTAACCACGAAGCAGCAAAGAAGTTTCTTATATAGTGTAGCGTCCCTCATTCAGGGACTAAACTTATTGATAAAAGTGTTATTCATACTGTTGTTAAGATATTGAGTCAGAAACAAAATTTAAATGATATATATATATATTTATGTTTTGAAACAGTTCTCTTTTTTCTCTCCATTGAAATTCTGTACAAGTATACTTGTGACATTCCAAAATATCTGGCCATCCTGCACCGTTTTTGACATTATAGTTCGACATTACACAGAAGTACAGCTGCCTATTTATTAGTATGAATATTGTTATTATTTTTTTTAAAGCAAGCAACACTGTATTAGCAGAGTAAGTACTTTAGCTTGCTCCAGTACTGCGAGATTTCGAAGATATGGTATCATTTATTATTGTTTTACTTACCTGTATGTACTGAAGATATGGTATCATTTATAATTGTTTTACTTACCTGTATTTTTGTTGTCTATTGTCGTCCGCGTATTATAGTTTGAAGTGCGTTTCTATGCACCTTTTGTATTACCACTGATCGAGGTTGGAACAGGGAGAGTTTTCTGTTGAAAAAAGAAGTGTTACTCACAGCATGTTCATTGTTGAAATCTGTATGGTGACCTGTGGTTGTTTACATCTTTCTCTTTTTGTCTTTGGTGGATAGTTGACTTATTGGCAATCATACCACATCTCCTGGATTTCATATGACTTGTATGGAGTGCTTTTACTATTGCAAATCACTGATTACTGGTAAAATGTAAGATCTAATTAAAGTGATTGCAAAATATTTTGTGATGGAAATTTACAACTGGAATTATAAATGTGATTTCTTATTATTGCCAACCTGATACTGTTTCAATTTTCGTATTGATAAATACATCGCAATAACAATATCTTGGTGTAAGTATTAGATACACCCATTTGGGCAAGCGACCTCATAGATGTATCTAATACTTACAGTATCTTAATACCTACCTCTAATTTCTGAATCTGTTCGAGGTCAACAACCTCGTCTGTGTCAGCTGTTGTCCTTGGTCATATCTAAGACTTAATGTTTTAATGATTTGCTAAATATCTTATCTATCATGGTAATCTCTATTAAATTAATTCACGACATTTCTAAACTCTGGGAGATTAAGACATAGATACATATATATATTGTATAACTTGTTGTTTAACACCGTTTATTTACATCTAAATGTCTGTTGGTGCTGTCTCATCACTTGTTGTTTAACACCGTTTATTTACATCTAAATGTCTGTTGGTGCTGTCTCATCACTTGTTGTTTAACACCGTTTATTCACATCTAAATGTCTGTTGGTGCTGTCTCATCATTTGTTGTTTAACACCGTTTATTCACATCTAAATGTCTGCTGGTGCTGTCTCATCACTTGTTGTTTAACACCGTTTATTCACATCTAAATGCCTGTTGGTGCTGTCTCATCATTTGTTGTTTAACACCGTTTATTTACATCTAAATGTCTGTTGGTGCTGTCTCATCATTTGTTGTTTAACACCGTTTATTCACATCTAAATGTCTGTTGGTGCTGTCTCATTGACTTTTATCAAACATCTGTTTTATTCATACTAAAAAAGCCATATGAGAAGATTGACCATGCGATTGAATAATATTCCGATATGCACGTTCCATCGTTCAATGATTCATAGAGTCGGTACAATCGTGATTGTTTCACTGTAAACCATTGGTTTATAAATTATGAAATGAACAACTAGTACTGTAAAAACTGCGTACGGAAACGGTATCGTATGTTTTTGTCAGCAAATCCCCGGACAAAATTAATCTTAAACAAGTGACTTGGTGAAGATTATTTTTAGAAACACGTTTCATAGATATAAGAAGATGTGGTATGAGTGCCAATGAGACAACTCTCCATCCAAGTCACAATTTATAAAAGTAAACCATTATAGGTCAAAGTACGGTCTTCAACACGGAGCCTTGGCTCACACCGAACAGCAAGCTATAAAGGGTCCCAAAAATGACTAGTGTAAAACCATTCAAACGAGAAAACCAACGGTCTAATCATGCACATTACTATCTTTATTATAGTAATACTCTTAAATATTTGAACAATCGGTTAACTTTGTAACTCCTAGTTCTGATATCGAAATATACATACTATTGTCGGTTATCATGGTTATGTCAATTTATTCATACGTTATATGTGTTTAATGGTGCATTATGAACTGATTTGCCAGATAGAGACAAAAAAGATAAACAAGAACGTGTTTACCCTTTTTATATCAGGTTTGGGTATTTGTCGAACTCATTTTACTGTCTGTTGTCTGTAAGTGCACATACCGTTAGTACTATTATAATTCCTCATTTATATTGTATTTCAAATAACGTAGCAGTAATTTTGTTACTCGGCAAAGTCTCTTTCTAGTTTATTGAATCAACAAGAATTGAAATTGGAATTGAAACACATTTGGCAGATGTTCATACAGTAATACATCAAAAGCGTAACAACTTATCAGAACTAAATATATAAGCTAAATGTATCTATAAAATAAGTAATATATTAACAAGATTTATAGACTACCGTCATTATTTTTGCAGTAAACATATAGTTAGAAAGTGTAAAATTAAAGCAGATTTTTGGAACCACTTACACTCACATCATTAATATTATAGGAATTGAAGATACGTAGGAAACAATCAGAAGTCATGAGTCGTGGAAGGAAAAATATACAACCACTGTGTTCCAAGTGCTAATCAATTAAATGTTCGTCTGGTAGTTCCAATCTGTGGCCACGTTAACAATCGTTCTGCATACAAAAAAAAAGGAGAAAAAAGTATAAACTGAAAAAAACATTAATCCAATATATTACATAAAAGAGTACTCTTGAAATCAAGAATATAACACACTCTACTTCACTAGTAACAACAACAAAAAAAAAACAAAAACAAACAAACCAAACAAATTAAACAACACAAACAACAACTTAAAAATTGAACAGGTCTAACAAATTCTAACAAACAACTCCCCTCTCCGTATAGATATGGCAAAATACAAATATTGGTACATAAGCTATAAATTCATTCGCACGAAAAATAAAATTGAAACTGCAAGATTCTTGGAAATCCAGTATGGAGTACTGCGGATACAACGATTACTATATCCTCGGTCAGGTGAGCAGTTGTACAAAAAGATATTTTAAGGTGCCCTGGGGAAAAAAAAACCAAAATGATTCTTTAAATTAAAACAAAATAAAACGATTAAAAAAGATAGATATTATAAAAGATGATAAATAGAATAAGTGATGCAATGTATTTTTTCAGTGTGACATGGCTAAAGCAACAAGGATATTTTTCGACATGATGCATGAAAATACAACAAAAGTGATGTTATTTGGAGACGCCTGTCCTAACGTCACTGGTCCTTTAGCCCAAATATCAAAGTGGTGGAATATGTCTCAAGTAAGTAGTCAGATTTATGTATTGACCTGTTTTTGTAACGTAAAGGCATGTATTTAACGCGCTGATATGTTTGATAACATTTGGAACTACTTAAATTAATTTGTTTAAAGGGGCACTAGCTGTCAAATTCATGTTTACCGATTTGATTTATAACAATGTAAAACATTTATCCAAATTATAAAAAGTCTAAAATAAACAACTTACAGGACATGAGCTCAATAATATTTAGCTTCGTTTCGTGTATATTTTAGTCTAGGTGCCATCTAATTAACTATCGAGTTGACCTCCGATGGCCATATAAGGGATATAAACATAAATATAGATATAAATAGATATCGAAACTCGTGCAATTGGATTTTTCTAGGTCAGTTTAATTTCATATTATAGATTAAAAATATATTTTAATCATCGTTTTTACCGGTATAAGAATGATTTTTTGTGGATCGAATCAGTCATTCCAATGATTTACCTTTGTTTCACTTTCAATGTTGACATTCTTTTCCTTTAAATAACTTAACCCGCACAAATCATGCGCTATTCATCTTTAGCTAAGGGGTTAAATTGAAGTTCACATGAATACGGTTTCAATGAGGTCGAATTATTCACTTGCATCAATGTTTCTTAGCTTATTATGACAAAATTGAACCATACCGGCTGCTAAAAGCGAATTATTATTTCACTATTTCACTTTCATTAATGATTGAACAAAAACAATCATAAATTAGATTTTTTTTATATATCTCGTAGCTAGTGCCCTTTTAATACATAAAAACAGACGAAAAACAATGCATTCTCAAAACACATAACCTATAAAATGAAGCAATATTTAGTTAAGGAGTCTCCCTTGTCAATTATATGTATTTCCCATAAAATTGCATATATATATAGAAATTAAAGAGAACAGACGTTAATATCGATATTTCATCATTTACAGTTGTCATATGCCGACACTGATCCAAAACTGTCAGACAGATCAACATATTCTAATTTCTTTCGGACAGTTCCAAGTGATAAAGATTTTAACCCGGCTAAAGTGGCATTTCTAAAGCGATATAATTGGACAAGAGTGGCAACCTTATTTCAGGATGCATCGATTGAATCTGACAGATACGGTATTGTACGTTATATTCCAATTGAGAGCTAGTTACATATGACCGTCATTATTGAATTAAAACAAACTTAGTTAATTCTTTGAACGATGGGCAGATCCATGTTAATGTAAAATGTTTACTTATATTTCAAACGCATACAAGCAGATTCTATTTTTTTTAGATAACTTCAAACTGACCATATGAATAGTTGCGCGACACAATTTACAAATAATATCGATAATCTGTAACTGTGCATTATTCAGTTTGCCATGCAATATGATTTTATCTTTTTGCGACTTTCACCATGTTATAGCTACACTGCATGTGCAGATTTTTCTATGTATTTTTTTTGTATCATGACACACGGTGTACAAATGCAAGAAAGGACAGGGGGAATTCGCAAGTAAAACTAGTGTAACACACCACGGTATGAACGATAGGTGAACTATGGGCAGTTCGTTGTTGTTCGTCTTTGTTTGAAAATCTATTATTTCAAAGAAGAAGGGTATTGATAGTCCATGATAAATAAATATCAACATTCCCTGCCTTCTTTTGGTCTTTCTCATGGTACACTTCATTTGAACCTCAAGTTTTGCAATCACATCAATGAGGTCTTTGCTAGTATTGTTTAATTATGCCACTCTTTATCAGTTTCCCTCAACGTTTCTTTAATCAAAGTACTGAAGTACTGAACATCGGATGACCGCAGGTTCTTGTGTATGGTCAAAAGCACATGTCACAGAAACAGATCACTTCTCTATACCTGAAACTGAGGTTAATTTACAGAGATCTTTTTTTCTGATACAAGTTCCTGCTTGGATGATGAATAAATGACAGGAAATTCAACCTCACCGTAATAACTATTATATTGTAGTGATACAAATCAGTATACCTTAGACTATTATACTAATATAATAATAGTTCCAGAGAATACACTGGTTTGTTGTTATATATTATATTAATATTACGGTTCCATGTATATATAATTTTCATCTATTTGTATATCATTCTATTCTACTATTATTATAGTGCAGTGCAAGTGCATGGTGGACACTCTTCTGTAAAAAAAATCAAAGCCTTAAAGGCTGTAAAAGCAATTGCTGCCATGTTAATGCTTTGTGGACTTTTATTTTTCATCCATATATATAAGAATTAAACCTGACAGGACAGGAGTGTTGACTAGTGAGAAGCAAGACGGTTTTAACTTTATATCAATAAAAGACTTTAGCAGGAAATCATTTTAAATATGTTTTATATTTCACAAGGAGACAACAAGTTTACCAGGCTAAAGTTGGGGTTAATTATACATGTGCTGAAACATATAACTAAAAAAAAAATCGATATGGATTGTCCCCTGGTAGTGTTTGTAACTGGGCAATAATTTCCTTTATTGATTTAATTTTAATAATTTTCATAATTAATTTAAATTAACCATTCAGTTAAAACATTTCAACTTTCCAGACGCAAATGTTGAAAAACGGGCAAGAAATAAAATATCTTACAAGCCATAAACATGTAAAAAATAAATATATATTTCAGCTTACTAAAAATATTTTCATAATGTTACTTTGACATCATTTCTTAAAACTAAGTCCCAAACATAATTGCTCAGTTGATATGTGTCATCCTCATGCGATACGAGATAACTATAATTCTGATGCAATCCCGAAAAGGGGGGTCATCACAAACAAACATGACATTAAATTGTCATTATACGAACTAGAACAAACAGCTCTATGTTGCTTTGATATTTATCAATTTTCAGGAAACATGTGAAATAAATTTCAGGTCCATTTCATTATAGTGCCTAACAAGATTGTGTGAGGTAGACGAAATTGACCTTAAAACGATCGTATTGTCTTTTGATGTCCAAAAATAGGCAGACCGGACATATAAGGACTTTATCTAATGACTACATAAATTTGGGATTTATTATTATTATAATATTCTAATGAAACTGAAAATTGTATTTTTTTGTTAGGATAAACAACAATTTTACCTGGTGTAGCCGTGCATAAAATGTTTTTCTGCGAAAAATGGCGTATTTAATGGAATAGAACGTTAATACAGTAAACTTTCTCTTTTTTCTCCGCAATAGGCTATCAAAAATAATTTATCTAATGTGTATGTGGAAAATTATGTGAAAAGATAAAAAGTGGCAATTGTTACCTTTCATACCTTAAGTTTCATTCATATGCCGCTATTATTGTTGTTGTTACCAATTATGTAAATCAATTGTATCTGATTTTATGCCCTTTATGGGCCCTGTAATTTGGAAAATACAAAAAAAAATCTATTCATTGATAAAACGTAATATGGACTGGTCCAGTGTCCAGTTTGCAGGTCATTTAATTTACTGTACACATTCGTGCACGCTCTGATTTAATCGATATACTCGTACGAAAAAGCATGAACAGTTTGAAGGTAATCTAATAATAACTTAATCCAATCAAATTGCATAAGATTCAATAACAATGTCCAATCCACATCATAATGAGTAATAGGGGTAAACTTGGTAGGGAGAAAATGACAGATATTTCAAGTTAATATTTATGCAATAACGAATTAAAACTTGTCAACCAAAAGTTTTGCTACAATTTCAAAAACATGTCGTTCTGTATGGGTATATTTTTCGGATCTTTCATTAGCGTATTTAAGGCTATATAAAGTTTGGGCTTCAAAAGTTCACACAATTATTGACTTTATACAGAAAATTCGTCCTTGTAAAACATTTAATAGTTCACAAATGATACGCGATTTTAAAGTAAAATTCTTTCTTAAAACACTGCAAAAAGTTTCATTCATATTGATAAAGTGGTATCGTCATAAAGTGCGTTGAAATGAACAGTGGTATAACAAACATCGAATTTCCTCACAAAATGTTATCACACACTATAGTAAGGGGAGTCAGTTAAGTTTGTTTATTTTTAGATTACAGGGAATCATTGGACATTACGTATACAACCTGTGTGACCTGTGTAGTGATTTTGATTTTACGATAAATTCATGAATGAATGAACGATAATTTTATGAATGAACATGAGCACCTGACCTCTTTCTTAAACACCAATTAAACATATAAAACCGTATTTAAAAGGAGATAATTCAGTCAAATTTTCAGTACTAAATCAACAACTGAAATGATTCCATTTTTTATGAAACATCGTACGAACGGAAAACGGAATCGCAGGTATAGAAATGCACTTTTTTCCCTTGTAATGACCGCGGATCTATAATTTTTATAGATCGGTTGAAATCCCAAAACTAATTTGCATAATGGAAATTTAGGCGATAGCAATACATCGGAATGACCTGAAGGTCATCCTCTGTAAAAAGGATGAAGTTCAGGCATTAAGAATCAAATATTGGCTAATGGCGTTTAGGAGGCTTGTTCGTGCTTTTATATTCAATTTGGTTTTATAATCCTGTTGACTTGACTGTTTATCGTCACAGCAAAAAAAAAAAAAAAAAAAAAGAAGAAGAAAACTGGAATCAAAACGAATTATTATAAATAATGTATATGTTACATTGTTTTTAATGTAAATTTTGCCGAATGATAGCAATTTATGTAAGGTATAAGCGGGATTTCTACTATACCTCAACTCTCAGTTTTTTTTGTCAATATCAGTTTAAATTTGAATAGAAAAAAAAATGGTTACATATCTTTTTTCTCAAATATATTCATAGAAAAACCTTTCCATACATTGAGTCAGAATTGTCAAGTTTTACTATGTATCAGTTTGATCCGTAATAAATTGTATTTACTTGTAGTATTTGTGCTATAATGAAATCTAGGTTTAATCAAAGGTCCATTGATTTAATTTCCCTATGCAGTTATAATGTCTCTTTGATTTGTTGACTTTTCTTTACAATATCTCGCACAACGACATGAATTCTGTTTTACTAGCTCTTTATGTCCATACATTTATAGAATTAAGGCTCTTACTGAACGATGCATAATCTTAGGTTTCTTAATCGGCAGCAACAGGAATAATACAGAGCAGTTTTAATGCAAAGCTGACATTGGAGTTTTTCTTTAGTGACTTTAGATTTAATTTGTTTAATAGTGTCCTAACCTTTTTCCCAAAACGAAATTATGATACAAAATAGGTTTTCGTATTAATTGCATCCTGTATATGCTGAAAGCAAGCTATGTCATTTGAACAACAGAACCCTGATGCATTGACACTTTTATTTGATGATATTTTGCTCAGTTGTCTCATTCACTTTAATGAATATTGAACATCGGTGATTCATACGTATTTACAAATTAAACAAAATTTGCTCTTTTGCGTCTCGAATATTCTTCCATAATGATCTGCAAGTTTTAATTTCATCTAAGTACAGTAAACATATACCACAACAACTCCTTTTATCATGATGGGACATTTTAGCGCATACAACGTGTGTTTTTGGAAGAAAAAAAAACTTCATTCGGAACGCTGCTGCATAAAAAAAAAATTGTATAAGCACCATACCTAAGAGGACATAAACAGGACAGCAATGAGTATCACTTTAAGGCTTCTTTAATCCATTAATGTTAATTTATCGAAGAGAAATACAATTGGAAACTTGTTTTTAATGAGCAAACTTATATAAGATATGTAGGTAAACCTCTAACTTACATTGATCCCGATCAATGTTGATTAGCTATGATAGCTCGAAGCCCAGAGATACTGAACATTACATTCACAAATGGAGAGATGAATAAAAAATAATTCAGTTTCCTACAAATTAAGATTACAAAAAAGTCAAATATTTAGCCATAATCAGCTCACTGACTATTTAGATAACAGGTTTTGCATTTGAAAGCTGAAGATTATCGATATATTTTTTAGTTTGAATGATCACCAATGCGTAACGTCCAATGGAAAATATTTCAACAATGTTCAAGACGATAACATGTAATTTTCATATTGATATACCCTGCTTTGTTCTAGACCAACACGCCGATATACATTTAGTAGGATTGTATTTTAATATTCCATATTACTTAATACTTACTAACAACAGGAAGACATATATTTATCACTTATATAGTAGAAAAATAAAGAATGTAATATTTAACAACCATTCAGGATAAATTTCAAAATAATATCATTTTTTTTATTAAGAATTATGACTTTATATTTATACATGATTTGTTTTCTCTCTTTGGTCGGGTTGTTGTGTCTTTGAAACATTCCACGTTTCCATTCTCAATTTTATTTTGGTTAATTATTAAGAAACAAATTGACTATTTTGCCATTGAGACAGATAGGGTACAATTGACGGAAGAAGCAAAAAGCAACAGTTACTGCTTAAGCACTTTTACTTGTAACGTGCCATTTTTTTTAATAGGCACACAACAAGTTTATACAAGTTCTTGATGATGCCAATATAGAAGTATTAAAAGTGGAGAGTTTTCTCGATGATCCGAGTTCAGCTGTAGAAAATATAAAGGTAAACACTTATGTTTTAGCGATCAAAATTATACCTGACTGACAACACTGGATAATTTTCCTCAAAGTTCATGCAAATTGTCTGCACTTCTGATTAGGTCAAAACTAATCAAACATACCAGGCTGATAATTATGTACGCTAGACGACATCAGACTCATCAGTGGCGCTCGAATCAAAACAGTAGAAATTCCAATTCAAAAACGAAATTGAAGAGCATTAAGACCGAAAATTACGAAAAGTAGTGCTCAATACGGCTAAGACAATTTATGCCCTGGGATAGAAAAACCGTAGTGTTTTGCTTAATTCAACATTTTATCAACTTTAAATTTACAGAAAATAAACTTATCACTGATATTTCCTGTCAACATAAAAGTGATGGGTAAAATCTAGAATGAATCATAAGTAGGAACAGGTCAGGTAACACTAGTATTTTTTCAATTCATATATATTTCATCATCATCTGCAAATAGTTAAATATATAAAACAAAGTGAAGAAGATACCACGTGGAATACAAAAAACACAACTTGAAAAAGACAAAAGACAACACTATGGAAAAGAATAAAAAAGAGATACGAAGAAGCAACACTCGATAAACCAAAGATTCAGTAACAAGAATACAACATAAACCCGGTGTAAATGAACTCAGGTGTTCCGAATAGTTAAGAAGTTCGTGCTTCGCTAGTGGCAAACGACATGGTGACTGAAGGTTACATGAATGGGTAGAAAGTGCAAACCGATATAATGGTTGCTTGGTGTTATTTTTTAACCAATATAACGGGTTACTTTAATAAAAACCTATCAACCGGTCTACCGATTTGCAATGAACAACAATCACACATTTCGTCGATCGTACTTTCCATACATTTTAAATGTTGAAAGTAGGATACTCATTCTACTTTTTTTTAATATCGATTTGAAATACACTTATATTTTTTTCTTATCGTGATGATCAAAGCTTTTATCTTAATTCAAGTAAAACATAAGCAGTGGCACATTACCATGTTACGGGATTATAAAGCATTCTCGTACCCAACGATATGGACAACGGTATGTCACATTTTATATTAAGAGTTCGATAATATGAAATGTCATTATAATAATGAGTAAGTTTTATAAATTTGGTGTTATATTTTAAGTTGAATTGCTTTTAAACATGCTGGGCAATCAATATCTGTTCCGCATTCCAACTAGCGATCCCAGAAATAACAATTTGAGTATTGCACCAAATTCTAAATGCTGCTCATTTTAATATAAAGATAATTATTGAAATATGTAATGCAATAAAAAGACTAAATCTAGTCAGAACATTTCAAAATCCACTTTGAATACAAATATTCCTATGTTTCTGCATAATTCCCCATATTATGGTGTAGTATGATTTATATACACTAGAGTATTTTTTTACAGAAACTTGATGCCAGAATCATTGTTGGTTTCTTCAACGAAACGATGGCAAGGAAAATATTTTGTAGTGTAAGTAAGTATTAGAATAAGAGAATACTTCAAAATCCATCTGTTATCTTTGAATGTCTTCCATGGGAAATGGATCACACCTTTGTCATAATTATAACATGTGTAATGCCTTCCATGTGAATTGGATTACAACTTTATCATACATCGCCGTTGATGAATTTATGAATTATTTAAAAATAGGTTCCAACTTCCTCAGGCAAAGTTGACCAAGGATGGACTAGCTATTATTTTAAGGTTACTTTTGGTAATAATCTCCTCGCGTATTCAAGATGTTATGCATCTTTTTCTTTCAAGTTTTTTTTATGTTGATCGTTCCTGATAAAGCTTAAGGTAAATCCCTTCTGTCACACCAAATGAGTAAAGTATTATTTTAATTAACAACGATATAATTATTATCAGAATTGCAAGTTATACAGAGATCTAAAATTTATAATAAGCTAGAGGTTTTTAAAGGCTTGTAGGCTTAATAACATTAACAGTACCAATTTTAGTGCACCCGATGTGCATTGCTCGAGGCCAAAATATTTGAAAATCCAATTATTTCGGTTCTTATAAAAAGTGTTGAAGATCTAGAGCTGATCAAACTAAAAAAGACCTTAAGTATAGCTAAATCTGGACAAGTAATCGGACCTTTGCATGGGGGAAATATACTCCTCAATTTAAAATGATTTCCAAAATTTTATAACAGCATATGTCAATCCAACCATGTCCGTATTTTCATGCCAGTACCTGAATACTACTACTGGTCTGGTGATAACCTCAGGGACTAACAGTCCACTAACTGTATCGAATATGAATTAATCTAAGGAGAAGTTGAGTAAACTTTAGTGAGACCGTTACTCAACAACACACATTTCTTTATCCAAGAAAACCTAAGTCTATCTTCTGAAATTAAACTTTGATGTTTTTTTATGATTTATATTTTAACGTCATATAATATTCATAATATTCTATCTATTAATTTATTTATCGACTTTATTCGAACTCCATGCAGTGTATCTTTTCAACAACATAACCAAAACGTACTAGGAAAAATGGAAAAAAAACTTTATGTTTGCAATCTGGAAGGCTTTTTGGAATGTATGTAATTGTAATTAGCGTCATATCTTACCAATAACTATCCTGCAACTTGAAATTTTGTTAAGTGTAACACTGTTCTTTAATCAAATTAAGCAATGTTGCATGTATACTACAGGCATTCCAGCAAAGTATGTATGGCAAAAAATATCATTATACTACAGGCATTCCAGCAAAGTATGTATGGCAAAAAATATCAATGGATTTTAGTAGGGGGTTATTCAAAGAAATGGTTTAGTACCAAAGATAAATCTGTCCCGTGTAGAAAACATGAAATTTTACAAGCTGCTGAAGGATATCTAATGATGGAATCATTAATGCTGACACACAGCAATGAACGTACAACATCAGGTTTGGTATGTTTTATCTTTTAGATGCATTTATTTTAGTGTATTACAATTAAAATTAGTTGTCTGCACTTGCTCCTCATTTTCGTTCGGTTGTTTATATGTCGCGCGTTATATTGAGTGTATTATATATTTGTTTATAAATCCCTGAATTTCATTTGAAATCATTAACAAATAAAAAAAAGAAGGGGATTAATAAAAATCACATATCGAGGGAAGGACAACAGCATAATGATGATAATCATCATCATCATCGAAATTGTTTACTCACAGAAAATATCACTGGAAAATAAGGATACAGCTAGCTTTCAGAATATACATACATTACTAGCAGTTAGCAAACTGCGACATAAACTCCAAGACACGACTAATATAAGATACCAAACTTATAATTTAGTACAAACTTCTCAAAGACAACAGGCTTATAATTTGATTAGTACGAGATTAGTACACAAGGCGCACATTTCGTCTAGTATTAAGCTTAATCGGTAACAATTTTGGCATGTACGTACTTTATTAAGGTTAATCCATAAAAGCGCTTCGGACATACCAAATTTGTAAAGTGTTATTTTCAGACACCTAAAGAATACAAGAAACAATATAATGATGTCCGTGACGGAGAGTTTAGTGTTTTCCATGGTTATGCATTTGATGGAATATGGGTGATAGCTAAAGCTTTAGATACAATCCTTAGAAACAAAAGATATCCTACCAAAGTGAAAGAACATTTTTTCAGAGGTGACGCAATGGCACTTGCGTTGAACGAAACAGATTTTATCGGAGTTACAGTAAGTAATTTGATCGAATCAGAGTTTTTTTTCGAAGAAAAAAAACATTTCAGTTTTCTATTTAAGAAAATTTTAAACTGAGGCGTAGCCAGGCAGAAGCTTGGAAGCTAAAGCTTCCATATTATTTTGACAAAAAAATTATGAATGGATAAATTAAAATATTAATAAGTGTTAATTAAATAACAGCTGATATATGAATTAAACAAAAATGTATGTTGGTATTATGGATCAAATATATATACATGTACCAATGACTTTGTCATGTTCCAGCTATGTCTTCTGTCAAAAGTTTATTTTTTGTATTTTTTTATTTACATAGATTCTTCCCGTTTTTTCGTTATTTCTGATTTTGACTTTTAACGGATTTGGTTTTGCCGGCTTTGATCCCTGGGCAATATTATGGGTGTCGTATGCGGAGCAGGATATGCTTACCCTTCCGAAATACCTGTTATCACTCTCGGTATTTATGGGAGTTCATACTGCCTAAGTTATTGTCGTTTTTGTATGTGTCCGTTGTCTTGATTTTGTGTGCTTTGAGTACGTCAGTCTTGTTTGAGTTTCGGTTCACTAGGTCTTGTACTAAATCTTTTGATTTTTGATATCTGACTATGTTTCTGTCGCTTTGGTAATCTTTGGACGTTTTTTTTCTTATCAATGAATATAACAGATCAGTTACTTCAATTCTTTTAAAATTTAATAACTATATCGATCTTAATGGTGGGATAGGTACAGATATACAGCTTCTTGTATAGTGGCCCACCTGGACCTCTCCGGTCCAATACAAATGAAGTATGACCCATTCTTATCACAGTGATAAGACGAGATATTTTTATATATGTATAAAATACTCAAACTTCTTTGAGTGAATATATAAAACATTTAGTCTTGTACATGTCTTGCTTAGCTGTTGAGGGTGGGTGGGGGCGTTCGTTTGGTTTTTCAGAAATTATAAATACACAGACTAGTCAAAATAAAATTTCTAAGTCTACTGATCATACATTCACTTCCCAATTGCAGTCACATATTCCGCCCTTCAGCGCGATCGAACCCTTATAGTAGTAGTAGTACAGAAATGCAGCTACTTGTATTGGCTTACCTGGACTACTTCAGTCCGGCAGTGAGACCCTTGCTGACTGTTTGGCTGTCGGGGTTGTACAAATACGGAGTCGCGTCCGGTCAGATTGCCATGGTTTTTTCACATGCAAGAACCTTTTCAACAACTCTTCATGCGGGGTCCGTAGGTGGCCTGTTGCAAGGCACAATTTTCGTCCCTACCCATTTTACCTTTTTTTCTAGCGGCAGTCGAAATTGCCCGCCATCAATCCCTATCATTATACTTATTACCAGATTTGATTCAATTTCAACTTGTTGTTGAATATGCATGAAATATTTTGCACTGGATGTTAAACTTTCAACAATCAATCAATCATTGTGATCGATCCAGTTTTTAAACATATCAAATTATAGTCATTGTTAGCTTGTTCTCGTCCTATATATATTCATTTAGTATTTGCCACTGTTTATGACTTAAAAATACTTGTCCCATCCAAATCTATAATACTAAAACTCGGTCTAATAATATTGAAACCTAAATGTATTATAGGTAAAATGAAAGTAAGGCCATTAAATACTTTTAATCGGGGTATTTCCGAAATAACATTTTAAAAGCTGAAATATTTTTGTAGTGAATATTTTCAATAAGCAAATATGTATAAAAAAGAAAAAGTTGTATGATTGCCAATGAGACAACTCTCCACAAGAGACCAAATGACACAGAAATTAACAGCTTTAGGTCACCGTACGGCCTTCAACAATGAGCAAAGCCCATTCCACAAGTCGGCTATAAAAGGCCCCGAAATGACAAATGTAAAACAATTCAAACGAGAAAACTAACGGCATAATTTATGTACAAAATAATGAACGATAAACAAATATGATATACAGCAACAAACGACAACCACTGAATTACAGGCTCCTGACTTGGGACAGTCACATACAGAATGTGGCGGGGTTAAACTAGTTTGAAGGCGCCAACCCTCCCCTAACCTGGGACAGTGGTGTAATAGTACAACATAAGAACAAACTATAAAAATCAGTTGAAAAAGGCTTGACTCATCAGATGGATACAAATAGAAATACATCTAACAAAAACACAGAGTGGACGTGGACGGGTACTTGTACAACCAAACAACAAAAAGACATTAAGTACAGATATGAGAGTACTCGCAGTTACTGACAGCTAGTACAAAGCCAATAACAACTAATAAAAAAAATCATGCAAAAATCATGCATCTAAGACTAAATTATCAATCAGTACACATCCAACATCCAATGGATTGAGCAATGTACTTGTATTGGATAAAACCTACATATAATCATTCTTTATTAGGGACGTGTACACTTTGACGGACCCGATAGGATTGGTTTGGTATCAATTAAACAACTACAAGGTATGTTAACATTTCTAGATCAATAAAACCAAGTGTCCGGTAGATATTTAAATTAAAAAAAAAACAGCATAAACAGACAGTGTTGTCCGTCTCAAATGGTTATACTGGAATTTCTTTAAAAAAATTGCCTGTATTGCACATGTCTGTTTCTGACAGAATCAATCTTTGAACACATATTATCACCAGTCATGCATATATCTATTTAACTGTCAACATAATTCTGCCTGAAAAAAAATGTGCTACAATCGAAAAACATAATGTATGGTAGTAATGTCCCACCAACACAATGCAGAGCAACTTTAGTGAAACAATTGTATTGGTACTGCAGATTGCTTTTATCATTTATTTAATTTCAACGATTAACAGTAATGACTGTGTCAAAGTAAAACAAAACAGGCATTTTCTACATAGTAATACCTATCATAATTATCTTGATAGAGCGTGGTCAACTCCATATCGCAAAGAATTGCTGAGTACGATGGTATTTTTATTTACATTTAACTATCAAAAAGAGTAAAATTATTGCTGTTGACCTATAGCTAGAGTATACAAAAGGTTATGGGATGTACTTGGATAACACACGTTAAATAATTGTAGTGTTTGCTGGTAAATTATTCATCGCGTTTCCCTTGTTTAATTCTAAATTGTAAATGCATGCTTGCATAACCATTTGTACCCTCTTTTGAAGATAGCTTAATTGTGGACTCGTCACCAGTAATAGAGGGAGATCGTAGGTTAGATCAACGATCGAATCAAACCGACGACTTCAGAACTGAGACTTGCTCATGCGACATGCTTAATATCCATATCACATTAACATGCAGGCATCCTGAATATATATGTCAGTTATATATAGCAAAAGACCAAATTCAAGATTCTAAACTTCTAATCTTGTGCTTTTATCTCAGTTCAAATTCCTATCAATTTTCTACACGCCTGTAGCAAACAGCAAAAAGAAATTCAAATACAATATATACTATGCCAAAAACGTTCTGCAACTTCGGTCAAACGGTATGTTTTCCATAAATAAAAACAATTTGTTAACTTAAGTTAGTTATTCAGGAAGAAAAGTTTTTGTATCTTTATTTTTATACAGAAAATGACTAAAACCGCTAGGTTAATATATACTAACTTAAGGTTATCAACAGTAAATCAGACGTGCAAGGACATTACATCAAATTGTTCAATAATGCTAAATGCATTAAGCAGTAACTTAATGACTCGTAGGAATTCTCTAATCATCGGAATGGATATTGTATGCGCTTTGACACGATGGTAAATTGAGCGATTATAGATCCTATAGAGCAGTTTTATAACCTGTCACATACACTTTAGTTTGCATTTGTATTTAATGCCAGAAAAATAAGCAGAGGCATTTCATCTAGAAAATAGGAACGGTATTAACAAGAAATTTCAATTCTATGGAACAAGAGAAATTACAACGCATTATCAAACATTGAGGGCATCTTTGTACGTAGTATCCTTTGATATATATAAGATATGCCAGCATGGGCATAATCTTATATATGATATGTGCTGCTGTTGATAAAAATTTTAATTTGCGCTGTTGCCGTTTTTTGATGCAGCCGGCTTTTTTTTTCTATTCATTTTAAAAACACACGCTTCTATTACTTCTTTTATACAACTCGTATAATTCTATACACATGCATTTCTAGATAAGAAATTAAAAGAAATTGGTTCATATGACAGATCAACGGATGAACTTGTAATAACGGATAAAATACAGTGGACAGGTACTAAATTTTACAGGTTCTTTGTATATACAAGTGACATCTGCAATTGTCACTGAAAAAGGTATGTTATCGGAATATCAGAATCCGCGCTTGTACTGAACGTGTAATGAACGTCATGCGGAAATATTCCAGAACGTTATTAGTAATCATCGATGATTTTAAATAAAATACGTTATGAGATACAATACGAAGTTTATCTTTTATTTTATAATAAAAGTTATTTGCATAATTAAAAAAAAAGGAAGCTGCGTTATTTTGGAAGGCAGAAAGTTTTTCTAAGCATTTGCAAAACTTCTTTATGAGGGTGCTTGGACTTTATTTACTTTACCCAAAATGCACTTGCTCTTTAGAGAAATAATTCATTCATTCATTTCATCTATTTTTTTAATTAGTTCCTATTTCATATATGCATGAACTATTAGATATTTGATGTTAAACTGTGAAGATTCAATGAATCAATCATTCATAAGAATTTATTCAAATAAGGAAGTTTTAAAGATATAAGGAATTGTCAATATATTATAGATAATTGCAAACATCACCACTTATCAATACACTAATTCTCCACGAAAGAAAATATAAAGTATTTTATCGCCCTTTTTATCGTACTAAAAGATAAAACATTCACAATAAACCTACAAACAAGATGACATTACATTAAACAAACATAAAATGAATTAGACAGTAGAATTTTTCTAATATAACCTGTGATATGTTTTCAAGATTTCTAGAATAACCTGCATTAGGTGCGCTCGAAACCAAAATTTCGGAATCTGAAATTTGTTAAACATTTGTCAACATAAAACCAAAAATGGCTTAATGAACAGCAAAAATCGTCTAAGCTCAACTTTGCCACGGGCAGTTTAAATTTCAACCTTCATTATATAATAATTGTATAAACATGGAACGGGGAAAATAGGTACTCATCATTTTAGAAAGGATAACGTCTTAGTATTTAAGAATGAATATGTTATGCAAGGGAAGTTTACTTCACATCCCGATTTATGTGTTAATTCTTTGTCATATCCACTACTAATAACAAATGTAAATTGTAGTTCTATCGCCTACTAATTTCAAATGTAAATTGTAGTTCTGTCAGCTAACACATTCTGTGGAACTAGTAAATTTACGTTAGGAAATATTATCGAATTATTTCAAGACATTTATTTTTAGGAAACGGGCCTCCAATGGACAGAAATTTAGTACGAACAGAGATGTTAAGAGTGTCAGCAGTAATATATTCTGGAATAAGTGTCTTGGCTAGCATTGGAATTATTATTGCAGTAGTATTCCTCGTTATCAACATTCTATTCCGACACCACAGGTACTTAAAGATGTGTAATCATTTTGTATAAGTGATTTTGAAAAAAATATTTAGACCTAAAATCGAACATAATAAGTATATCAAAACAACTATTATATTATATTGATGTTCCTTATGAGACATAACTACAAGTTTATCGTTTCTGAAGGAGCGGCGTATCTCCCAGAAGTGTCTGTTCAACACAAAACACAGTCAATGATTGTCAAACAATGTGAGAAAACTTATGCAATTAACAAGTACATGCTGCAAAGTCATTGAATCTTCAAAATACTATATTGGTCATGGCATGCAAGATTATGTCAAAGAAATTTAAATTGAAAGAATCATTACAAGTGAGATGGCGATTTTATTTGAACTTATGATAAAACCTTTTTTTTATTTAACAGGTACATAAAGATGTCGAGTCCAAATATGAACAATATAATAATAATTGGATGCATGGTGTCTTATGCCAGTGTTTATCTTCTTGGATCAGAAGGAGGTGCAATGAAAAGGGTTCACTCGTCCTCATTATGTGTAGTAAGCAGAGACCAACCGATTGAAAATAAATTGACAAAAAAAGAATCAAATATAAAAAAAAATATTAAAAAATGGATAAAACTCTGTTTAGCTTAAATCTTTTATGGAACATCGATATTTGTCAAGACACACATTGAAAAAACAGTCTTGAACGAAAATACTATTTTAAATAAAACTTAAAACGTTTTACAATTAATGAATACATAAACCAGCTGTCTATAATAAATACAAATGTTATGGTATTTATTACTACACATGTATATACACTAGGAGCATAAGCATTCATTGTATAGTGTTAAGTGTCGGCACGACATGCATTTGATATATGCAAGGGCTTATGGTAATTTTTTTACTCAACCAACAATAACAGTAAAAGTTCAAGTTCAAAATGGGTCGTACCTTTAACTCGGAGCTAATATTCCTGAGAGTCCTCGCCTACATCGAACTTGTTTTTTTAACATCACTTGCAGATTGCATTTGCAAACTGTATAAGATAAACATGATATTTATCCAAGGTATTAACACGATTAACATCGCCTTGACATCACTACATATATTTTCTTCATTGTAGATTCGTTCATGGTTCTTGGCCGTTGGCTTTTCGTTATCATTTGGGGCCATGTTCACCAAAACATGGCGTGTTCACGCAATTTTTACCAACATAAAATTAAACAAAAAGGTGAGAGTTTTTTTTCTATTTAGTTTTCTTGTAATAACATTGTTATATATATCCGCCACTATCATATTTTGCTAATTTTTATCTTAAATGTAGATTTGCTATGAATTGGGCCGTCAGTTTTCTCGTTTGAATTGTTTGACATTTTTCGTGTCGGAGCTTTTTATAGCTGAATATACGATATCTGGGTTTTTTTCATTGTTGAAGGCCAAACGGTACCTTTCTCTTCATCATTTTAATTCTGCTGGATAGTTGTTTCATTGACAATCATACCACACACCCTTATTTCTATATTGAAGAAAAATGATATGTATGGAAACAATCCTATATTACCGCGTCCAATCGGTGAAACATTTGAGAAATATCAGTAAAATGGCCAAATAATTAAGACTTAACATGATTCAGAAACCATGATATTCAATGGCATACGTCACCATATTTGGTTGATGTTGGTTTGTTTCTTCTTATTCATGTTAGATTTCTTCTGCCAGACAAAGTAAAATGCGTCGTCATTTTCTGTTTAGTTCTTTGTCTTGAACTTACACCTTTTTATCCGAATTTCAAAACCTTAAACTATTTGTGTAAGCATGACACGAAAGGAAGAGAACTTGAAGTAGAAAAATATAACCAGTAAAATATTTCTTGAAACGCTTTGGATATGAATCTACCTCGTAACTAATTATTTAAATTTTCGGAAATAAATCAGTTTAACAATACTAAATCGGCTACAACGACATTTGTAACTTTGATTTTGTCTTTCAGATAATTCATGATTACAAACTATTTTGTATGGTATTCACTCTGGTTTTGCTAGATGCCATTATATTGACCACGTGGCAAATCATGGACCCGCTGTATAAAGATACTAGGAATCTCAGTTCCTATGTAAGACTATATAAAAGAGCATAACCACATAATACTATCACAGTACATTATAACGTTAAAATGTCAATATGATATTTTTCGTTTAAAATAGCTTACACCAGTCAGTTAATTTTATAAGGGAGTTGTGGCATTTTCCGGGCTCGTGGTAACTTAGTAACAAAAAAAAAACATGATTTACCGTGTACACAGTACGTGATTCTGAAGTAAACTCGAGACCAAAATTTTTAACGCCAATTATATAAATTATTTTAGAGCATAAAAACTAAAGGGTAAAACAAGAAAATCCGAAATCGTCTAAGGTCGACTTTGCCGGAGGGGTTACAGCATTATTTTCAACACAGTTCCATAACTTCATTAACAGTATCAAAACTCTTGTTATGGGGTGGGGTGTAATAGATGAATGGCACCTGTCAGTGTGATATCGAGTTGATTTTCAGATATTATTTTTAAATCTAAGCCAAACTATAGTTGATATCATTGTTTGATTCTACCATTCGCTAAATAGTTGGTACCAGTGCTCTATTTTCATATATTTAGACATACACTTTTTACTTAAGATAAAGTTTCAACTCGGTCAGACAGAATAACCCTTTTAAAACTTTTAAAGTTTTATCTTTTCAAGCATGTGTCTTCTACCTTTTGACCTTTTCATTATGTGGACGCTAAGATAATATTTTAGGCTTTTTTTTATAATATCGCATATATCTTTATTCCGGAGATAATATACAATTATAGCCTTTGTATGAGGTCGATACAAGGATATATTGACCTGAAAGAAGTATATTGACTGAGGACGAAGTCCGAGGTCGATATACTTCTTTGGGTCGATATATCCTGTATTGACCTCATAAATAGGCTATAATTGTTATATTATTAATTTTCCGACCATATTTGTATCAAAATAGTCATTTGATTTAGTTGGAATTTTATAGATATCATATTGTCTCCTAGAAAATACAACATATTAGTTGTTATTTCATTTACTGTTTTTTTTTTACATCTTATGTATTTGAAGATTTTTTTCTTCAAATAATCGATCATAGATATTTTTTTATAAAACTTTTAACAATATCATGAAATTCATTTCATGACGTCACCAAGTATATCGGTTTTTAGATATTCTAAAAATAACCGTGCAATATGCTTTTTGCTGTGCAATATGCTTTTTGCTATCCGCCGTTTTCTATCTACCTTCGAAAATATAGTTTAACATGTGACTATCCCTAAACGAATCAAATTAGTTAAAATATACGAATTAATAATATTATACAATATTATGTTCTATAAAAACTTGACCTCTCTCACACTTGAGTGATATTGTTTTACCAATTAGATCATGGGTGATTACGAGGTAATACCTATAATGGAATACTGCACTAGCAGCTATATTCCGATATGGATGGGAATCATATATGCCTACAAAGGACTTTTGTTAGTGAGTATTAAAGACTACTATATTTTATATGTAAGATTGATGATTAGTTGTAAAGTTTTAATTATATGAGGTTGTTGACTTTAGTGTATCAATGAATATGTCAGAAATATGATGGAAGGATTTTGGTGAAGATTTTGCTACGTAAATACTTGGTTAGTCTGCATTCCTTCACTAAATTTTTGATTGGATATTTTTACTTTAAAGATTCTTTTCTCTGTCCTATAAAAAGGTACATAGTAAAAATTCAAACTTTGAATAAAACATTTTGAATAGCGAGAAATGTATTACATTAAGCTACGAAAACGTGATTTTTCCTACGTAAGAGCAAGTACTCAGTAGGAAACTCTGACACTGCATACACAGAATAATATATACAGATTGATGTTTCATTTGAACTTATAACTATACTTACCAATTCTGATGCCTAAACCAGACATTCTGACATAAACCGTCCTTTCATAGATGTTGGAGACCAAAATATTTAAGAATTTGAAAGTTCACTAAATCATTGATTGTCGAAATGCACAGCTGGTGCAGTAAAATCGGTTCAGTTAATGTTATTACTTCAAATGTTGAAGAGCTCATAAAACCAACAACAACAGACTGATTCAGTTTTACCCTCTACTGTAACAATAATATTTCAATTGCAAAGCTCATAATGATAAATATTAACAAAGATGTAAGTACTGCCTCAGTCTATGAAATAGTAATATATAAGCTATCTCTAAAACGAACATCGATAGGTCACAATACGGCCTTCAAAATGAGCATTCAATATACAACAATACATTTTCGGAGTCTTTTGTTGTGAAAGAATTCAACTCAAACAACCAGATATCTGAAAAGGAAACCGGATTTATGTCATCAATAGAAAGATGATGTGTATCCTTCAGTTTTATGTTTGGTAAAATTCTCCATTTGTTTTTATTTCCAGGTATTTGGTTGTTTTCTCGCATGGGATACAAGACATGTAACGATTTCAGCACTAAATGATTCAAAATACATTGGAATGAGTGTCTACAATGTTGTCATGATGTGTTTGTCCGGAGCAGCTATTTCGTTTGTAATAAATGACAAACCTAATCCCGAATTTATCATCATAAGTCTGCTGATAATTTTCTGTACAACCATAACTTTGTGCCTTGTCTTTGTACCAAAGGTATTGTTATTCCTAATGAGGTTTTATCTAAATGTTGTAAAAATAAGAATTATTAGTATATAAAGAGACAGGAGGATTTTTTTCTCATTTTGTCAGCTAAGCATGTTGACAAATTATTTGTATTGTCACATAATTTTTGTATTGTATCTAAAACTCACAGTTTTACATCTTTACTGTGCTCTAACAATTTAAAATAATATGCATCATTCAGAATGATTTTAAATCGTGTTTTTCGAACATTAAAAAAATGTAATTTCATTAAAATTGTCTTGGACAGCAATATTTATGACTGCATGGTCTTTTGATTTTTACAAAAATGTTAAAAAGTCTTTTTATGTGTATTACTTAAAACTTTTGAATTTCCTCTTGTTTTAATCAACAATCAGTTCCCGACTTTGTGAATAAAGCAAATACATTTCTTAAATATTTGCAGACTCGCGATTTTTCGTTTCCAAATGTTTCATCCTGTCTTGAAATCATCAATTTTACATTCTTAGTTACTAAAATTAAAGCCGAAATTTTAATAATTGTTATTTTGTTCGAAAATTTGATTGTTTCATAGAAAGTTTATAGTAAAAAAACTGTAATTTATCTAAAATCACATGCCATTGTTCGGTTTCTCTTACATGCTAATTTCCTGTGTTAAAGAAAACGAAATGAGTAAGAATAATTTTTTCGATTGAATAGTTTGTAAGAAGACATTAGATCTCGTATCTTAGTGGGTTTATCGTTCATACATATCAGTTTCTGTTTTCCTTCCTTTCATATTGATCAATAGTAGTCCCCCCCCCTCCCCCCGCCTTTGGTACCTTTCCACCAATGTAAGTATGCTTCCGCTGTTGCTGGGTCTAAAAAATCATGTTTGTATCTATATTTCAAAATATTTTATCGTTATACGATGATAATACAAAAAATCTAAGGAAAACTAATCAGACTTAATTTCGAGTTTGACCTACGACGGTCTTTAGCTGTCTTACAAGGTTCTTTTTCCATTTCAGAGCTGCAGAAATTATTTATGAATAAAAACATTGCATAAAGGGAAATTAGATATAAAACCGACGACTCAAGTGAAAACAAATTAGATGTTAATATGAATACGGTCTTCGTTGATAGATAATTGCCCGCAACATATTTGTTGTATCGAATGTACACGCGTTAAACTTGAGAGCTGAACTTCATTTTTTGATATTGAAGTTTTAAATATAAACGTTTCTGCAAATTTCATTACGCTAACAGAATAAGATGTTTTTCAGAAATGAAATCTATTGTATATTTTCCTTTGTTATTCCGTATTTCACTGATGGAAATTTAAAAAGGGGGAGGGTTGAGTGTAATACAGAGTAGTCTTACCTGCTTCCCGTTTATTGGTCAGTTCTAAGTCAGGAACATAGTCAGTGGTTGTATTTATCGGGAATATGATATCTAATTATTCAAATTTTTGGAGATTTTGGCAATTTAGAGCTTGAAATATTACACAGGTTTGAATAGAAGGAGCTTGACGATGTGGGTTATTAGACTATGTCAAAAAAAAAAGAAAATTAACAATAGGGAACGAAAAATCGTCTCTTTCGTCGTAAAATGCAGTGTAGATTTTCCTTTGTGAAATAGATACATGCAAATTGATAAAATGACAATTGTTGCTGTTCATATTAGCATTAAGAAGAGTTAGTTTCCTGGTGACTAATTTCTGTTCAGTTAGAGAATTCTTTAAATATGTACCTGTTTTAACTTTGCACATTTTAGATTATGTTAACTTTATGATTGGTGGAGAACTGGACATGACAATTGAACTTCATATCATTTGGCGCTTATAAACATGAACCGTTTATATTTTGTAGATAGTTGAATTAAAAATTGATCCAAGAGGCGACGATAGAAGAATACGAGCTACGCTTAAAAGGAAGGGAAAGAAAAAAGAAGAAAATGGTCCATTGTTTAAAAAAGATATTAAAGATGTCGAAGAACTTAACAAACAGTACAAAGAAATAATTAAACAGGTAATATAAAAATAAGGAGAAGGAGATGTGGTATGATTGACAACAATACGACAACTCTACACCAAAGACCAACAGAAAAGCATACAACAACAGGTCACCGTGTGGTCTTCAACACGGACGGAAACCCATAAAGTAGGCTTTAAAAGGCCCCGGGGTAACGAAATCCATGACATAATTTTCCAGCTATACATAAATAATGTTCATTGTAATCTAAAACGTCACTACTGACATCTGCGAACGAGAATAGGCCAAATGAATATCACCGTCGATAAAAGGAAAATTCAAAATATTGAACAAAGCATTGTCTCTTTTGTCATAAATACTCGAAAGTTTCCCATTCGAAACTGAACTATTAAAATAATGAAAAGGACAAATATGTTCATATTAGATTCATTTAATGTCAGTAAGATAATTCTTGATTATTTAAAGAAAATTACCATCTAAGCAACTGTAAGAGTAATTACAATTTTCTGTTAAACGAAATTAAGACGGGTATTTTTTTTCTGATTTTGACTTTAAACTGTGGTTTGAAAATCAGTAACAGGTGTCTACTATTAAAGGGTCGACACAATTGCTTCCCATGGGAAAACTGACGAACTGTCGATAAATAAATTATTCTAAAGATTAACTTAAAATTTGTTGATAAAATCAATTTTCCTTTTAATTTAAACACACAAAGTATGAAAAACCTAAAGGTACACAGAAACGAAACATACAATGTAAAAAATGCAGACATCATAAATATTAATACAAATTTTCAGTACACCTGTGTTCTTTTTTTAATCGAAAACTGTTTTTAAATCAATCTAATACATGTGTTTGTATTCGCGGCTGGGTGACTGTTGGTATCATAAGCCCAGTAGTTGATACTTAAGAAAATCTCGCTCAGGGAAAGTTGACTTTGGACCGTTTTTGGCTCTTTGCTTTGAGTTCCTTTTGATCATATAAATCCACAAGTATTTATAAATCCTTGGCTTTCACATTTTCTATCCTTTTTTTCCGGATGAAGGTAATTCTATAAAAGCGCTTCGGAGGCACTAGATTTATAAAATGAAAATATCACTTTTTAAATTTCGTGTATTCGTAGTGTTTTCTGGATTTCTTTGGACTATGAGGTGTACTTTTTATTTACTAGCACCGCTGCTTATAGACTGGCCATTCTTTTATGGTCTCGTCCTGAATAATCATGCAATTTTGGCAGAGGACGTTAAGCAAGTAACACTCAATCAATCAATAATTTTTTAAGGTCGATTTTGGTCATATGGCTACTAGTATAAATTTTATATTAATCCAGAAAAGCGCATAAAACAACCAACTTTATAAAGTTTTATTTCAAATTGTCGATAGAAACGTGCAGAAATCAGAAATCTACTGGAACAACTTGGAGAAGACCCCGACTCCTTCCTTTACAAAGGAAAATACACACTGGGCGATACACCACGAAAAACAGTTGTTGGATTGAAAGTTTCTGATTCACCAACTAAAGTTTCTAGAGGTAAAAATTAATATTTTTGCTAATCTTTTTAAACATTAGAGTATCATTTAGAAATTCAAGAATAATATTGACTCTAAAAATAAGAAGATGTGGTATGATTGCTAATGAGACAACTCTCCACCAGAGACCAAATGGCACAGAAGTTAACAACTATAGGTCACCGTACGGCCTTCAACAATGGGCAAAACCCAAACCGCATAGTTTGCTATAAAAGGCCCCGAAATGACAAATTTAAAATAATTAAAACGAGAAAACTAATGACCTGATTGATGTACAAAACAATGAACGAAAAGATATGATAAACAGCAACAAACGACAACCACAGAATTTCTAGATTTTTTCTCGGCATTCTTGCTAAGACGTTGAATACCATTTTAATTTTTATTAAAGCAGTGTCAATCAAGCTCTGTAAAGAAACGTTTTATTTTTTAGTATCTTCAACACTTGAGGGAGAAGACTTGTCAATGTGTTCAGAATACACAAACACGTGGTCAGTTGATACATCTCAAGTACGGAAACGACTGTTGTTAATGTCAACAAAGTCTGTTACAAGTTCCGAAACAACAAATACTGACAGCATAGAACTTACAGATTTAAGGTATATCAAAATTACATATACATGTATATGTAAAAAATGAAAACAACACTTTTTAAGCATTTTTCGTCCGAAGCGCTGTTCTGGATTTACCTCCATCAGGAATTGTAATTGAAGAAGTAGAATTAAATTGTGTGCAAACTTGATATAAAATAAGTCTAGTACCGTTCTCCTAAATAATCATCAGTATAAAATAACGAAATATGTTATGATTGCCAAATTGGACAGCTTTTCACGTAGGTCTTAGCAACTATAGGTCTCCGTATAGCCTTCAACAATGAACAAAACCCCCACTGCATAGAAAGCTATGTATAAAAGGTCACGAAAGTCTGTTTAATGGTTTCTGGTTTCACTGTGTTTAACCTTATGTTATGTCGGGTTCACCTTATCTTACCTTCAGGTGTTTTCTTTTCATGTTAACGGGACATTAGCTACGAGATATAAATAGAAAAATTAATATTTGATATATTTTTGTTCAATGATAAACGAAAGTGAAATAGTGAAATAATAATTCGCTTTTAGCAGCCAGTTTGGATAAATTTTTCAAAATAAGTTAAGAAACATCGCTGAAGAATATTTCACTTGCAAGTGAATAATTCGACCTCATTGAATCAATATTCATATGACCTTCAGTTAACCCATTAGCTGCAGATGGGTTACGCATGTATTCAGCTATTATATGGAAAAGAATGTCAACATTGAAAGTGAAATAAGGATGAACCATTTTTGGTTGACTGATTCGATCTACAAAAAAAAATCACTCTCATACAGGTAAAAACGATGATACACATACTTTTTAACCTGCAGTATGAAATCAAATAGGCCTAGAAAAATCCAATTACACGTGGTCACTATCTATTTATATTTATATTTATGTTTATATCGGGTTATATGACCGTCGGCAGTTTACGGAGGTCATCTCGATAGTTAATTTGATGACGTCTAGACAAAAGTACACACGACATGCTGATACATATTATCGAGTCCATGTATTGTTGATTGTTTATTTTAGACTTTTTGTAATTTGGATATACGTAGTAGTATGTTGTAATTAAATATGAGAATTTGAGTCAAATCGGTGAACATGAATTTGACAGCTAATGCCACTTTAAGTTAAAGCACATTAATTTCGTTTTAACATCTCAGCTCTCATACCGTTAAACATGGTTAGCAATTGGACGTGGTTCGTGTGAGATGCATGTCATACTCGTAGATTTATACGATAACGACGGATGTATTCTAATTGTCGTAACCATAATCCCGTCCTCTTTTCATTGAGTATGACCTACCGATTTAGAATTACCACCAGGTTTGTGCTTACATGAGTAATACGACGGGCGCCACATATGGAGCAGGATTTGATTTCCTTTAGGGAGCACCAGAGATCATTCCTATTTTAGAGGGTTTCTTGTTGCATTAGTTTTCTATATTGTGTTTTGTAGACTGTTGTTTGTCTTTTTGTCATTTTTTGTTTTTAGCCATGTCATTGTCATGTCGTTTTTGAATTATGAGTATCTTTCGCCTCTCTTTTTTAATAATAAAACATGTTATGACTTTAATGCAATTTGTTTACAAACAAGTGTTTAGTATTTTCGTGTCTCTTTGTGTTGTTTTCCTCATGCTCTTTTTATTTACACATGTTCTACTATTTATATCCTTGAACGTTGTTGTTCATTCGGCATTACATTGTACTTAAATTTTTGTTCCCAATATATCCATATAAGATTGTATTTGTCTTTAAGAAATATCGGAGATGATATGATATAAATCATGATATGCATGTAGAAAACTTATTGAAAACGGTATTTCACATCCTAAATTTTACGGTAATTAAAGAAAGAGACCGATTTCATTCAGCCGCAACTCCTCTGAAACCACACAAAGTCGGGAAATATTTGTGATATGACGTATAAATGTAGTGTTTTGTACTTTCTAATCCTGTCTTTGAAACAATCTTTTTTCCAGAAAACAACCAATTTTTGAGAAAATATCCAAATTCGGAAACCGTTATCGATCCGTGTCTTATACGCTTTCGCGCATGCTCAGTCGAGTTTTTTTTCCATTGTGTCACTCATTTTGATTCCTTTCGGTAATGTCAACGGATTTTACGTAGCTCATACGGTTATTGAGGTAAAAGGGTAAAAACTACTGAAAATCAAACTTTGCCACACTTTAATTTCTTATTAAGTATTTAATATTTTTATTTTTCAACCGAGATGAATCTTTTGCATTATGTTCCTCATTTTCATCTCCTTAAATAAATAGAATTAAATGCATTAACCAAAACCTTACTGTGTCCACCTTATTACTGTGTCCCACTCTGTTTCAACACTTGCCCAATTGTACCGCGATTTCGCGGGCATCTTCTAGTTGTACTAAAAGCGCGGAAATCACTATGTGATCCGTGTAAACTCATCGAACCTTCAAACAAACTTATTAGTAAAGGTTATCTTACCAATGTTGTAATTCGATCTTTGAATATAGTTTACATTGGCACATATATCGATTTTGTCATTAGCAAATTAAAACATAACTAAATTTGTATTCTTTTCAAACGGTTTTTTGGGATGTATAAATACACATCCACGTTCATTTTCTATATAGAGATTAGTATTCATATGATGAAGACATAATCTTTCAATCAGTTTAATTGAGGTCTGGAGCTGGCATGTCAGTAACTGCTAGTAGTCTGTTGTTATTTATGTATTATTGTCATTTTGTTTATTTTTTTTTGTTTTCTATTCTGACATCGGACTCGGACTTCTCTTAAACTGAGTTTTACTGTGCGTACTGTTGTACTTTTGTTTTTTCTACATTGGCTAGAGGTATAGGGGGAGGGTTGAGATGTCAAAAAACATGTTTAACCCCGCCGCATTTTTGCGCCTGTCCCAAGTAAGGAGCCTCTGGCCTTTGTTAGTCTTGTATCATTTTTAATTTTAGTTTCTTGTGTATAATTTGGAGCTTAGTATGACGTCCATTACTAGTATCACTGAACTAGTATACATATTTGTTTAGGGGCCAGCTGAAGGACGCCTCCGGGTGCGGGAGTTTCTCGCTGCATTGAAGACCCATTGGTGGCCTTCGGCTGTTGTCTGCTCTATGGTCGGGTTGTTGTCTCTTTGACACATTCCCCATTTCCATTCTCAATTTTATTACTTTCTCTATATATTACATTATACATATTTATTAACAGGTTAACTCCTAACTATCCTACTGCCTGTCGATAATTTTATTTTAGCATTGCACAAATTAAAACACTTAATCCCTGGGATGTGTTTTAGTTGATTTTAGTCTCTGATGCATGAGTTTTTATTATTAATTGTTTTTTTGGCTTTTAACTAGCTTTCAGTAACTGCGAGTACTCTCAAATCGTACTTTCGTGTTAATTTGTAATGTATTTTTGTTATTTAATGTTTACTTATTCAGTGTTATTTCTAGTCTGACCATTTTTTAATATATACCACCTTTGATGAGTGGTTAGTATGACGATAAATTTTCACTTTTGTTCTCGTACTAGGAATAACAAAATTATTTCCATACTCCATGTATACCTTACAACAAAATTATTTTTATTTACCTGTGTACGTTGTTTTATTTGGCGGCATTTTGTCCAAGGTTATGGTTGTCTTTCTGATACTGTTTTACATCTAACCCCCTTGTTTTATTAATTTTGTATTTACATTGTGTCATAGATCAAATTTATTCGTTCAGTGTATGTTCACTTGTTTTTGTTAATATATCTTTTGATTGAGTTAAACCATTTCAATTGATATTTTATAGTGTGTCTTTCTATGTTGTGATGTTACACTATTGATTTAGGTAGGGTGAAGGTTGGCGCCTATTAAAACGTTTCAACCCGCTACATTTGTTTACACCTGTCCTAAGTCAGGAACCTGATGTTCAGTGTTTGTCGTTTGATAATGTGGTTCATAAGTGTTTCTCGTTTCTCGTTCTTTATATAGATTAGACCGTTGATCTTCCTGTTTGAATGGTTTTACACTAGTCATTTTTGGGGCCCTTTATAGCTTGCTGTTCGGTGTGAGCCAAGGCTCCGTGTTGAAGGCCGTACTTTGACCTATAATGGTTTACTTTTACAAATTGTGACTTGGATGGAGAGTTGTCTCATTGGCACTCATAACACATCTTCTTATATCTATGTATATTCTACAGAAAAGGTCAGAATATCCGAATGGCTAATATGAGACAATCATCGTACGACGAGCAAGAGGAATTCGGAGGAGTTTACCTTGGTCCACCAGAGTGCAGTAAAACACATAAATGTATTGGAAATGCTAATGACAGGTATGGCATGAGATATATGCTAATGACAGGTATGATGTGAGATATATGCTAATGACAAGTATGACATGAGATATATGCTAATGACTGGTATGATGTGAGATATTATATGCTAATGACAGGTATGACATGAGATATATGCTAATGACAGGTATGATGTGAGATATTAAAAAACTCACAAAAAACAAGGAAAGTTCCCACATAGTTGATAAATATATATATAAAACCAATTTAGAATTAAATATTTGGACTGTGATTAACGATTATGGTTTAGTTGATGATGTTGACAGATAGATGTTTAACGTCAGGTGGTAAATGCATATTCAGGACGAGCTAGCTTGTGTGATGTGATTATGACAGTTGCTTAGTACTGGACCGGATTTTTAACGTTTTGGTCATAAGGTTATAGTCCGCAGGAAGATATGCCATCCTATCAGGACACATTATTCTAACTCCGAGCCGACTATTCTTTGCTCTGGTTCCAAAATCCCGCGTGGTTAGAGGAGAGGCAGAAAACACAAATATTCAAGTCTGTCTTCGTTTGGCACAGACTATATCGAATCCGAACTTGAAGCGAGCACGCTACCACGAGAATACCGAGGCGGTTAATTTTGGCATTGACGTGTAAATTGCTTATTTTTCAAAAACGCATTCACTTGCATCGCATACTTTCCTTTAATTCCTAAATTGTGTACATTGAAGATATAAATACAATGCGCTTCTTTTTATATATGTATGTGTTAAAAAAATAAAAGGTAAAGTTGCAAATGAATAAATAAATAAACAGGACATATTCGATAAGAAAGAATTAAGCCCTGCAATACCATCAAATAAAACAACAAATTTATATAGTATGTATTTAATCAAAAATATTTCCATCGTGTTATCTTTTTACAGAAACCATGTGATTCCAAACAATAAGATTAACGAGGAAGTTCGATTAACTGATCTAAATTTGACAGTAAAATATAATGCTATCTCAGATGTTGATAGTTTGTCAAGTTTTCCAGGTATTGCATTAATCAGTCTTCAATAATATATATAATAAGTACGTGTTTCGAGTGTTGGTGATCATATTTTCAAAAAACAAGATTTATTCCTCTTTATTTTGTACATATACATATCATATTCTCAGTATATGAATGTAAACATTTTCTTTTTCTTTATTATTCCATTTTAATCACGCTGTTTTTCACTTTTGGAATTTACTATTGGATCACTTTCAGTGCGCAAGTCACTTATTTAATTAACTGAAGTATATAAATTCGAATACTCCAGAACTTCAGTTTAAATACTTCACACACTTCAGCTTAAATACCCCAGCGCTCCAACTTAAATATGAATTGTTGAGGTATTACATGTATAATTAAAGAGCGCAATTTCCGTACGGAAAACCGCCGTCTAATAACCTACAGTCAAATTTAAACTGGAGTGCTGGAGTATTTAAGCTGAAGTGCTGGAGTATTTGAATTGAAGTGATGGAGTATTTAAATTGAAGTGATGGAGTATTCGAATTGCAGTCCTGAAGTATTTTTCAGGTATGCTTGAAAACAAAAAACTCTGCAATTAGAAAGCAAAATACATAAAAGTTTAAAAGTATCAAAATCAAAAAGGACTTAAGCAGATCAGTCAAAACCACTTACGGTTAACTTGACCTAATAGAGGTCAACTGTAATCTAAATCTTTTATACAGCTATATATTTATAAACTGTACGTTTATATACAACATGCATCATTTTGAACATGTCAGTCTAGACATAACAGTTACATGGCGGATAATAAACGCTGACTCCATTGAAACATTTGAAAATACATAAATTCAACTCTGAAAGCAGTAATATAATTCAACACTTACACATGTATGATACCAATGTCAATGCATACACTCTGGATTTTTTTTCGAAAAAAAAATCATCAGGTACGCTCGAGACTTTATCAATAATATATATATGCCTGGAAAGCCAGATACTTGAATACACAAACTATAAAAAGCGACACTAAGAAACAAACATAGAAGATGTCCAGGTTGCATCATTAAGGAAAATAATGTTTAATTTCATAGTTGTACTTTGTTTTTTTCAGACGAAGAGTTGACATATCTGTAGACAGATTTTGTTTTTACTATATGACGTGTACTTATGTGTCTTTCTAGAGCATTTTGTACATTTTCAACTACTGGGGGAAATCATGTGATACTATTGAAGAATTGTAAATAAACAAAAATGAATGTTTGGATTGAAATTTCTCAATTATGCATGTTGGAATATTGCCATGATTTCAATTTTAAGGATGATAAATCTTACAATGCTGTTAAACAATTTTAAGGATGATTTATTTTACACTGTAGTTGAACAGTTTTCTGACTTTTAGATATAAATTTATGGTACCATTTTAAGTGGACATGACACGTGATAATTTCTAAAACTTACGCATCATTATTTGCAAAATTATAACGTACTAACATCTACCGTAGTTGCTGAACATACAACTTATGCTTTCATGCTCAAGTCAAAGAAATTGTTTAATGAAACAGCGTATATTATGACTTACGATGACCACACATTCAGCTGAAAGACCGACAAGTTATGTTGGTTATATTTGTCGTTGAGTATCTGTTTCATTGACATATACACCACATCTCCTTTTATCAAGGAGCAAACGAAATAAAGCAAACTATAAATATTAACTCAAACTACTGCATCACAAGCATGACAACACTGAGGTTGTGAGTCGGATTCCCGCACGTGGCAGGTGCGCTCGACTCTAATCTTAATGGACTCGGATTGTTAGTTTTCCTACCGAAGATCGGATGTTCTCTCCTGGCAATCCGGCTTCCTCAACCAATAAAAACCGACCGCCACGAAATAGCACAATAGTGTTGAAAGTGGTGTTAAATACCAATCAATTTAAATCAATCAATCAATCAATTAGATAAATATTAACAGTGAAGGAAGTCATATTATAGCAGATAGATGGTGCATCCTTGTGTATCGGAATGACAAGTAGAATTCACTGAATATGTTGCCAACACTCGTATGTAAAAAAAACCCTCATAAATATCAAGTACAAAAAGGGTAGAAGATAGCAAGGGGTAAAAATAAATCATTAGTCGAAAAATAATGGCCAACACCATAGCTAAAAGAAACAAGACGAACGGACAAACAACTTTTAACAAAACACTTCACAAAATGAATAAATTACAATTCTGGAATGGCATATATCCACATAGATAAAACTGATAATAGGAAACTATCAATGAGCCACCTAAACACACTCGTCTATAGATAAAGAGTTTATATTAATCTTAAAAGTCTTTTTATATGTCTTGTTAAGTTGCTATTTCATTAACGTATATTACACGTTTCCTTGTTTTCTATGTATATTTATTCTTTGAGAGAAGATGTGTTCAAAAAAGATGTTAAGCATTCGAGCGGAGCAAAATAATTTAAGAAATTGCACAATAAAATGAATAAAAAATAAGAAGGTCATGTTAAGATGAAAGACCGGGATGGAGACGCAAAATGTAGACTTACAGCGGAAATGCTGAATAGATGCAAAAATGTATAGATCTCTCAAAGAATTTTGCAAGGACTCCAGAACGTGCAGAGAATGAATATGACTGCGTATTTACATATCCTGCACAGGCAAACGGACGACCCCTCAGCATGCTTTTCACTGCCAGGCAATATTAGGCAAGGTAATTCTATACTATCGTAACCTTTTTTTTTTATAATTTGTCGGTTATGACCACGCGACGTCTACCGAAAATCAAGGGTTATACATATACGTTGCATGTATGAAAACAAACTGACAATTGTAGAATGAATCCTATACTAAGTCTTAATCAATACGTGTTTCCCTTGTACAACGATTAGAATGATTGGTTAAAGACAACAACAAACTTGTCTTCCGCATCTTACCGTTAATTACTTTAGAACCAATTGCACAGTGTAGTTTGTATTTTCCTCATCGTGGTTCCCGAAATGTATTTGTTAATTAGAAGTCTTACATCGGAAACTAAAATACTTAATCCAGTATTTTAGTGGTATAATGACAAAATCCTCTCTAAAACTCATAATTTACAATTCGTCAGACATAAAATGTAGTGATATATATTTTATCCTTATATTTAAGATAATAATTTAAATAATTAGATAATTAAATAATTAGATAATTAAGGGGATTTTCGTATTGAAGGTGCATGTAAGTACATGTATATATTTTTTTTGGAAAGTACAGTGAATAAACTTTTTCACTTGCGTACGGATATATATAAGTACTATATGTAGTATGGGTTGTTTCATTATGAAACGTTCTTCGTGATAATTTTTCAATTTTTGTTTTTTCAAGCAATTTTCATTCAGAATTTATGAGGGCGATACAGTAATCAGTGCTACAGCAGATAATGATTAATGAAATAAATAGATAAATAATTTAATTTAATATTAATGAACATTACAACAAAACACCAGACACAAGGGTAAATATATTGAAGGCATTTGCTATATTCAAAAATAAAATGAGATAGTTTGAAGTACGAGAATGAAAGAGTGAAATATAAAATTTAATCAAGATAATTTGTTTTTAAAATGAGCTATTAGATTATTGTATTTCTGTCTTTTGTATTTTAGAGAAAATTTGTAAACTATGATTAATTGGTTGAGAACCATTGATATGTTGAATAAAGAGGAAAACACGTCGTATTCCTGTAATGGTGTACTTGTTTTGGTCATTGGGACAGTTGGAAATACGCTCGTAATTATTGTTTATTTCGGATCTCTATGGGCACTGAAAGGAGCACATTGGATATTCATCCGAGCTATTGCTGTAACAGATGCTTTAGTGTGTATACTAATAATTCCATATGAGTTTTACCAAAGGACAAATCAATTGACATTTTATTCCGAATGGACATGTAAATGTGTCCGAACAACCAGCGTTCACATAACAATAATTTCGTGCCTTTTACTCGTTATAATGTCCGTAAATCGTCTATATAAAGTTTGTAGGCCAACGAACGCTCAGTTAAGTTCCCGCCAAGCTTGAGTTAGTATTTTTATTCTTGAAATGATTGCTGCACTTCTGTCCTGGCCTCAGGTAGTAAACAGTGGAATAAATCTTGTACACCTGCAAAATAATATCACTGGTTATGATTGTAGTTTTGCCACAAGATCAAATGACATGAAACACGCCACTATATACAGCGCAGTTTTATTTCTAGGGTTCATATTATTATGTGCATTGATAACCATTTACGTCATTATTGGACAAATACTTCGAAAGAAGGATCAATTCAAATCTAAATGCATCTCAGTCTATCGGGTGACAAGATCTGTAGTTTCTGTAACAACACCAGAATCAGCTGAATTAGGGGATGTAACAAGTGACAGCATAAAATATGGGAGAAGTAAATGAAGTTATGAAAACGAATATAAGCAATTCAACTACTCAATATACAACAACCTCGTGTAAGAAACAAGGATCTCGAAAGTTAACTAAGATGGCATTTTCAATAAGTCTTTGTTTTGTTCTTAGTTACTTTCCGTCACTTGTGGTGACTATAACTTCTGCAATATCAAAGGATCAAAATGTAACAAACAACTGGACTCCAGCAGTAATACCAATTTTATCACGTTTGTTCCTCATCAATAATATAATAAATGCCTGGTCATATTATTGGCTAGATAAAACTTTTCGATCAAAAGTTAAAAAAATATCATCGAAATTATTAATCTAAGAGGAGAAAAGTAGAATTATAAAAGATCTGCTTCTGCGAAATTGCCTTATATTAGTTAAAACAATTCAAACAAATATGCCTTTATTGGTTTTTTCCATATCATCTATAGTGCATTACAATATATAAGAAATAATGAGACATTAGAAATAAAATGACAAAACATTCAGAGTTGCCTTTCTTTTTACATAATAAACATCGTTAGGTTTGACTCCGCCGATCATTTTTGTACATTGTAGGCGTATATTCTATTTATTATTTAAGAACATTTTCATAATGATCGGACGCCTTCGTAATAAGAATCGCCGACTATTATTCGAATGATGCATGTATATAAATATTGTCCTATGATCAAAGGAAATTTGAGGATAGTAATTTGACATGAGAATCTATATAAAAAAATCAGAAACCTACATTTATCTCATTATGGATTCTGTTGAAGAATATGTCACAACATTTCAAAACAAAATTAAAAGATCAAACTATAAACTTTATCCGAACGTGGTAAGTTCCTAAAAATATAAGTCTATCCCGTTTTTTGCAAACTAAAACACTGTATAAACGCTATACATCAATCAGTCATCAATAACAAAGATGCATGCTTATCATTACTTTATGATAAATTCTTGCTTGTCTCTGCAGACAAGGCATCCAACAATATTAAATGGCATGCACAGTGTATAACTATCAAGATGAGGTGGAAGACACTGAGAGGATATTCAAAACTCATTTGTTGAGAGAAACTGACAATGCCGTGACAAAAAAAAAACAAAAAAAACGAAAGATGACGAATAGACAAACGAGTTCACAAAACACCACATAGAAAACTTAAGACTGAGCAACACGAACCAATTCAAACGGGCACGTCAGGAGGGTAAACAGTTCCTACTTCACTAGTTCAGGAGAGTAAGCAGTTCCTACTTCACTAGTTCAGGAGAGTTAGCAGTTCCTACTTAACTAGTTCAGGAGAGTAAGCAGTTCCTACTTCACCAGGTCAGGAGGGTAAGCAGTTCCTACTTCACTAGTTAAGGAGAGTAAGCAGTTCCTACTTCACTAGTGGCACCCGTCGTGTTGCCCATGGTATGTACAAATTCGGATATTGGTCTTACATGAAAATGTCTAGTCTAAGAAATGTAAATTGGCCTGCGAGGAAGCTACCAACTCTGACAAACTGACAAAGGTTATATGTTAGCTACATTGTAATCATAAGGTACTGATGAATTCTTTAAATGTACACATGTGCAAACATAACTTTGACCTCTCTTGCCTGTTTTAGATTGATACAAAACTACACAATGTTTCATTTACACTGTCAGTAGCATTCGTGCTTCATCTACTTGTTCTACTAAAGGCCAGTAAGATGTCCAGAATATTGATTCTAAAAAACTCTGAAGAGCTTTACTATAGTGTGTGATATAACTATAATGTTTGCTTTATTTAGCGATTTTTTGAAGTTCTCGTCTTGTTAAAAACAGAAAATGGTATTACAATGTGAAACTATATCGTATCATGACTTAATTTAGAAAAAAAATCATAAAACGTTGTCAGATACAATACTTGTTTTATCATTACTGTACATTACATTATCTTACACAATGATGTTTGTTGGTATGTGGTTTTAAGGAAATCGGTTGTGTCCTATATTTTATAAGAATGTGTGGTATTTTTACTCTGATTCTCTATTTGTTTTCCCTTACGTACATGTATCACAAATAATGTTGCGTGTTCCGAAACTTTAACATTCTAGCAAACGAAAGATCGACTCATTCTCTTTGTGAAAAATTAGATCTTTAAACAAAGTTGCATGTAAATATTAGTTTAACCAATATGTTTTGCATTACCATTACCGAAAATTGAATTCATTACATCATATCCTTCCCACGTGAAGAAATTATTCCATGCTTAAAAATTGTTTGTATTAAAATGTCAAATAACTTGACAAAAAAATCAAATATATATTTAATACGGGAAATTTAAGAACTTGGAAAACTGCTATTTCTTCTTTGAAATGTTTTTTTTTTTGGATGAATGTTGATTCTTATGCATATAAAAACAGGTCGACCAGTAGGGATGCATCATGAGTACCAACTGGAATATCTACTGTTTGTTGAAATATCGTTTTGGAATCAAAATAGTTATTCTTTTTCGTAACCTAAAACAGGAAATGTATATCTCTGATTCAATTTTTTTTTAGACAAAGTACTGTTTAAATGGAAGATGTAGTCTCTATTTCAATTGAGCTTAAGGAATATATGTACATTGTAGTGGTGCAGTTTGGGTATGCAATTTAAAGAAAGAAGATTTTCTTAGTCTTTTTTATGTTTGTTTTTGTTGCACTTCAGTGTTCTTGTTGTTCCTTTGTTTTCCTCTTATAGTTGATGTGTTTCCCTCGGTTTTAGTTTACAACCCGGATTTGTTTTCTCTCAATCGATTTATGACTTTTGAACACCGGTATACTACTGTTGCCTTTATTTATGCTAACTCCTAAAGGAGATACGGAAGGATTTGTGATTTTTTTCTACATCTCTTTCGTGAATTAAATGATGTAGGTGTATAATTGATATTTTCAGATTTTCTGTGAATTCATAGTTCTGTCGTTAGCCAATCCAAATAATGATTGTTTTCAGTACATGTTAAGGAAAATTGTGGTTGAGACTTTCTCTGCTAAAACAAAATAGATATAAGAAGATGTGGTATGAGTGCCAATGAGACAACTCTCCATCCAAGTCAAAATTTATAAAAGTAAACCATTATAGGTCAAAGTACGGTCTTCAACACGGAGCCTTGGCCCACACCGAACAGCAAGCTATAAAGGGCTCCAAAAATTACTAGTGTAAAACCATTCAAACGGGAAAACCAACGGTCTAATCTATATAAAAAACGAGAAACGAGAAACGCTTATGAACCACATCAACAAACGACAACTACTGAACATCAGATTCCTTGCAAACAATTGCAGCGGGTTTAAACGTTTTAATGGAACCAAACCTTCACCCTTATCTGAAAAAATAGTGTAACATCACAACATAGAAAGACACACTATAAAATATCAATTGAAATGGCTTAACTCAATCAAAAGACATATTAACACCAGAGAACATACACTGAACAAATAAATTTGATCTATGACACAATGTAAATACAAAATAAATAAACTAAGGGAAGAATAATTAAACTAACATGTTATACCGCTGTGAAATGTTAAACAATTTAAGAAAAACTATATGATTGAACAAAAATATCAATCATTTGCAATAACTTTAAACACAGGTAAATGAAAATATATATAAATTTGTTGTTAGGTATACGTGTACAGTTCAAATAGAGAAAGGAAATAGTTTTACAAAATAAATAATTAGGGCCCCGCCGAATGGCGGACGCCCTATAGTGATCAGTCTGTCCGTCCGTCCGTAACAAATTGTGTCCGCTCTATATCTAGAGAATAATTATGATTTCAAAGTTAATACTTGGCATGTATATTAACCAACACCAGAGGGTGTGTCATAATGTATGTACAACTTCCTAGGTCAAAGGTCAAGGTCAAAAACTTTGGTTTTAGATGACAACACCATGTCCTATGGTAAAGATCGTGTCCGCTCTATATCTTGAGATCCGTTATGATTTCAAAGTTTATACTTGACATGTATATAAACCAACACCAGAGGATGTGTCATAATGTATGTACAACTTCCTAGGTCAAAGGTCAAGGTCAAAAACTGGTTTTAGTTGACAACCCCATGTCCTATGGTAAAGATCGTGTCCGCTCTATATCTTGAGAACCGTTATGATTTCAAAGTTTATACTTGACATGTATATAAAGCAACACCAGAGGGTGTGTCATAATTTATGTACAACTTCCTAGGTCAAAGGTCAAGGTCATAAACTTCGGTTTTAGTTGACAACACCATGCCTAATGATAAAGATACAAATCTTTTACCACACATTATTCACAGCGGGGCCCACAGAGATGGCTCCCATCTCAATGATATCTAGTTTTGATGTTCATAGTACGAAGAAGTGAAAATTTATAGTAATACCAAACACTTATCAAAGCTGGTATATAGACCAGATATAACCCTGAATAACATTAAATAACAAAAAAACATTACAATTAGTATCAACAGGTCAAATAAACAAGAAAGTACGATTTGAGAGTACTCGCAGTTACTGACAGCTAGTTAAAAGCCAAAAACAATTAATAATAAAAAATCATGCATCAGAGACTAAAATCAACTAAAACACATCCCAGGATTTAGTATTTTAACGTCATGGACAGTCAAAGAAGACATGACTTGTGCAATGCCAAAAATAAATGTATCGACAGGCAGTAGGATAGTTAGATGTTAACCTCTTTATGGATCAAAATGAACGTGGATGTGTCTTTATACATCCCGTTTTAATTTGCTGATGACAAAATCGATATTATTGCCAATGTAAACTATATTCAAAGATCTAATTACAACATTGGTAAGATAACCATTACTAATAAGTTTGTTTAAAGGTTCGATGAGTTTACACGGATCACATAGTGATTTCCGCGCTTTAAGTACAATAAAGCACATTTAAGTACAATAAAGCACATTTATCGTTTAGACCGGATATTTATTACATTCACATCTTCAGGTTTCTTCAAAGTAACCTTCGATAGAGATACAAACTTGCATAATATACTAATCCTTATACAAACACGGCGGGTGCAACATGTGGAAAAGGATCTGCTCATGTGTCTATATATACTATATAGAATTTAATCAAACTTATCAAAGTAGACATGTTGCGGCTAAACAAACTGTCTATAGATAATGAGTTTATATTGATCTTAAAAAGACTTTTTTTGTGTATTGTTAAGTTGCTGTTTCATTAACGTCTGTCGTACGTTTCCTTGTTTTCTATATATATTTTTTTATTGAGATAACGTGTGTTCAAAGAAGATGTTAAGCATTCGATTGCAACAAATTTACGAAACTACACAATAGAGTGAATGAAAAATCAGTAGGTAAGTGGAAACACCAGGATGGAGAGTGAAAAATTTTGACTTACATTGGAAATAGGAAATGCTCATGAATAGATGCAAAAATGTAAGAACTTCTCAGAGGTTTTGCAAGGACTCCATGCAGAGAGTGTGGCATTTTTCAACACCGGGAATCGGATTTAACTTCCCAATTCCATTTCGACATGACTGCGTATTTACATATCCTGTACAGGCAAACGGACGACCCCTACGCATGCTTTTTACTGCCAGGTAATATTAGACAAGGTATTTCTATACCACAGTAACCGTTAGTTTTATTATTTGTCTGTTATGACCACGTCTACAGAAAAATAAAGGATTATACGTTGCATGTATGAAAACAAACTAACAGTTGTTAAATGAATCCCGTTTATAATCAATACGTATTTTCCTTGTACAACGATTAGAATGATTGGTTAAAGACAACAACAAACTTGTCTTTCCGCAATTTACGGGTTAATTATAATAAATTGAACCAATTGCATCATGTAGACTCTATTTTCCTCATCGTGGTTTCCGAAATGTATTTGTTAGTTAAGTCTTACATCGGAAACTGAAACAATAATCCAGTATATTAGTTGTATATAATGACAAAATCCTCTCTTAAACTCATAATTTACAAATCGTCAGACACCAAGTGCTATTTATTTTATCTTTATATTTAAGGTAATATGTTAAATAATTTAATAATTAAGGGTATTTTCGTATTGAAGGTGCATATAAATACATTTTTGATTTTATTGGAAGGTACAGTGAATAAATTATACGGATATATACATGTATGTAGGACTCACATCCATGGCGGGTTCCAGATCTATGGCAGATTTCCTATCTATGGTAAATATGACGTCATGCCATTCCAAATCTATGGCAGACATTTTTAAATCCAAATCTATGGCAAATTTTCTAGTTTCCAAATCTATGGCATGATATGAATGTGGCACCCGTCGCAATGTCCAAAGGTTACGAACAAACCGGTAGTAAGTCAAAGTCAGTATTAGAAAAAACGGATTAGGTGTACGACAACGGGAGCTTGTCCATAACCATTTGTGAAATGGACCGTCCATATTGGTCAACCAAATCGTGATGGCGACCATAATATTTCCTAAGTGAGGAAGTGATATACACTGAAACAAACTTAGGAGAGAAATTATGTGCCCTGAGAGAATAAGCATTTCCTACTCTGTGCATGGTACTTGTTTGACCAAGTAATTTAACCAACAATGTATCCTTTCATTGCCGACTAAACTGCATGGGTTTTTCTCATTGTTGAAGGCCATACGATTGCCTGTAATTGCTTATATCAACTTTATTTGATCTTTGATGGATAGTTGTCTCATTGGCAATCATACCACATCTCCTTATTTTTATAGTCAAAATGAAAGTCCATTAACAAACCAACATGCAGTATGAATAAAAATATCTAAACAAATTGCCTTTTTACATAACATTTATATGTGCCTTAATAAACCTTTTAAAATTGATAACGATTTAAGTCAAAGTGGTATCTGTGATTACATCCCTCACTTTAATTACTTTGCCAGCCGTAGATACTATAATATTAACTATAATTCCTTTCCTGAGATATTCGCTTCTAAAAACAGCGTTGCCTTTATTCATCGAGGGATTAGAACGGTACAGCATATATTGTCCCTCCTCCTGTAAACCATCAAGAGGGAAAGTTGAAATTGTTTCCCTGTGTATTTGTTGGAAATAATCTGTGAGTCCCGGGTAATATGACGTTATTTAATTGTGACGCTATAGTTTACTCTTTTCCCCGGACAATTACGCAATTTCCAAATCTGACATAGATTTGGAGAAAACAAAAAAAATGTCATAGATTTATGATTTGTATGGCGTTTGTGACGTCATACTTGCCATAGATTTGAAATCTGACATAGATCTGGAAACCACCATAGATTTGAGTCCTACATATATAAGTACTAGTATGGGTTGCTTCATTATGAAACTTTCTTCGTGATAATTTTTCAATTTTTGTTTTTTCAAGCAATTTTCATTCAGAAATTATGAGGGCTCTACAGTCATCAGTGCTACAGCAGCGACTGATTAATTAAATAAATAGTTTAATGTATTAATAAAAATCACAACAAAACACCAGACACAAGGGTAAATGTATTGAATGCAGTTGCTATATTAAAAAAGAATGACAAAGTTTACAGTACGGTAATTTAAAGACTAAAATAGCAATTTAATTTAGATAGAACAAAAAATGAAGAAAAAAAAAATGAACTATTAGATAATTGCATTTCTGTATTTTTGGATGTAAGAGAAAGAAAAGTGGTCAACTATGAGTAATTGGTCGAGAACCATTGATATTTTGAATAAAGAGGAAACAACACGTCGTATTCCTGTAATGGTGTACTTATCAATTGTTTTGGTCATTGGAACAGTTGGAAATGCGCTCGTAATTATTGTTTATTTCGGATCTTTATGGAAACTGAAAGGAGCACATTGGACATTTATCAGAGCTATTGCAGTAACAGATACTTTAGCGTGTATACTAATAATTCCATATGAGTTTTACAAACAGACACATCAATTGACTTTTTTATTCCGAATGGACATGCAAATGTTTCAGAACAACCAGAGTTCACATAGTAATAACGTCGTGCCTTTTACTCGTAATAATGTCAGTAAATCGTCTGTATAAAGTTTGTTGGCCAACGAAAGCTCAGTTAAGTCCCCGCCATGCTTATGTTAGTGTTTTTATTCTTGAAATGATTGCTGCACTTCTCTCCTGGCCTCAGGTAGTAACCAGTGGAATAAATCTTGTACAGCTGGAAAATAATATCACTGGTTATGATTGTAGTTTTGCCTTAACATCTCAGAACAAGAAACACGCCACTATATACAGCGGAGTTTTATTACTAGTGTTCTTAGTATGTATAAGTGCGTTGATAACCGTTTACGGACTCATTGGACACAAACTTCAAAAGAGGAATAAATTCAAATCTAAACGCATCTCAGTCTATAGGGTGACAAGATCTGTAGTTTCTGTAACAACACACGAATCAACTGAATTAGGAGATGAAACAAGTGACAGCGAAAACGATATGGGAGAAGTAAACAATTCAACTACTCAATATAAAACAACCTCGTGTAAGAAACAAGAATCTCGAAAGTTAACAAAGATTGCATTTTCAATAAGTATTTGTTTTGTTCTTAGTTACTTGCCGTCACTTGTGGTGACTTTAACTTCTGTAATTTCAAAGGATCAAACTGTAACAAACAATTGGACTCAAGCAGTTATATCTATTTTATCACGTTTGTTCCTCATCAATAATATAATAAATGCATGGTTATATTACTGGTTAGATAAAACTTTTCGATCCAAAGTTAAAAAAATATCATCGAAATTATTAATCTAAGTGGAGAAAAGTAGAATTATAAAAGCTTTGCTTCTGTGAAATTGCATAATATTAAACAAATCAAACAAATATGCAATTTATTGGGTTTTTTTCATATCATCTGTAGTGCATTACAATATATAAGAAACAATGAGACATTAGAAATAAAATGACAAAACATTCAGAGTTGCCTTTCTTTTTACATAATAAATATCGTTAGGTTTGACTCCGCCGAACATTTTTGTACATTGCAAGCGTATATTCTTTTTATTATTTAAGAAAGTTTACATAATGATCGGACACCTGCGAAGGAAGAATCGCCGACTATTATTCGTGTGATACATCTTTACTAGTATATTGTTCCATGATCAAAGGAAATTTGTGGATAGTAATTTAACATGAGAATCTATATAAAAAAATCACAAACCTAAATTTATATCATTATGGATTCTGTTGAAGAATATGTCAACAAAAAATAATTAAAAGATCAAACTATAAACGTTATCCGAATGTGGTAAGTTCCTAAACATATAAGTCAATCCCGTAGTTGCAACCTAAAACCATGTATAAACGCTATACATCAATCAGTCATCAATAACAAAGATACATGCTTATCATTACTTCACGATAAATTCTTACTTGTCTCTGCAGACAAGGCATCCAACAATATTAAATGAAATGCACAGTATAACTATCAAAATGAGGCAGAAGATACATTGTACAGAGAGGATATTCAAAACTCATTTGTTGAGAGAAACTGACAATGCCGTGATCCAAAAAAAAAACAAACAAAAGACGACGAATAGACAAACGAGTTCACAAAACACCACACAGAAAACTTAAGACTGAGCAACACGAACCCATGCAAAACAGGCACTTCAGGAGGGTAAGCAGTTCCTACTTCACTAGTGGCACCCGTCGTGTTGCCCATGGTATGTACAAATTCGGAGATTTGTCTTACATGAAAATGTCAAGTCTTAGAAATGTAAATTGGTCTGCGAGGAAGCTACCAACGCTGACAAAGGTAATATGTCGGCTACACTGTAATCATAAAATACTAATGAATTCTTTGAATGTTTCCATGTGCTATAACTTTGACCTACGTGCCTGTTTTAGAGTGATTCTAAAACTACACAATGTTTCATTTAAACTGTCAGTAACATTGCTGCTACATCTACTTGTTCTACTAAAAGGCAAGTAAGTTGTCTAGAATATTGATTCTAAAAAACTCTGAAGAGCTTTTAAATTACTACATCGTGTGATATGACGATAATCTATGCTTTATTTAGCAAATTTTGAAGTTCTTGTCTTGTTAAAAGAAAATGAAAACGGTATTACTATGTGAAACTATATCGTGTTATGACTTAATTTAGAAAAAAAATCTTAAAACGTTGTCAGATACAATACTTGTTTTATCATTATTGTACATTGCATTATCTTACGCAATGATGTTTGTTGTTAGGTGGTTTTAAGGATATTGGACGTGTCCTAAATTTTATAAGAATGTGTGATATATTTGTTAGACTCAGATCGACGTCCGGTCTCTAATCGATGTGCGTTCCTCAAATAGACGTCCAATGTGTCATCACGTTCTCAAATCAGTGTCCAATATTTTTACCGACGTCATGAATCACCAAAACGACATCCAATCTACCAGAGGCTCCTCTCATCCCGATTTATAAATTTTTAATATCATTGAATCATTTATTTTCTAAATTGATCTTTGTTTATATCATCTGTATCGTTTTGTCTTTTTGTGAAGTAGCTTACAGAAACTATAACTTTTTTTCTTATATTGTTATCAAAATAAATGGACAAACATCAGACAATGACAATCACCGACATCATATTTGTATTACATATACATGCAAATTATTATTTTGGTGAAAGACGTTCATATTCTCGACCTACGTTGTCGTTTTCCTTTCTTTTTCGTATAAATAAATGACATGTGGGTATACCTTGTACGACAATGATAATCGAAATACATCTAGAGGGCAGTATATAGACTAAAACAATGGAAATAAAATAATAAAAACGTTTAGCCAATTGTTGAATAGTATTATTATTTGGACTATTTTTCAACAACTTTTTGAGTTTTAGGTTCAACCCACCCTTTGATAAAGTTATGATTTCATGGCAACAAGTCCGTAAAAGGACTTTGATTAGAAAAGCCAAAAATTGGACTTAAATTTGAGAATAACAAAAAAAGACGTCGAATAGAGGGAAATATAATTGGCCGTCGATTTGTAATCTTATTTTATTATGACGTCAGATTTGAACATCGTTTGAGGAACAGACATCGATTAGAGACCGGACGTCGATCTGAGTCTTACATATTTACTCTGAGTTTCTATTTGTTTTCCCTTTAGAACATGTATCACAAATAATGTTGCGTGTCCCGAATTCGAAACCTTAACATTGTAGCAAACGAAAGATCGTCTTATTCTCTTTATGAAAAGTTAGAACTTTAAACAAAGTTGCTTGTTAATTTTAGTTTAATCAATATGTTTTGCATTTGTATAACGGAAAATTGAACTCATTCATCATATACTCCCCACGTGAAGAAATTATTCCATGCCTAAAAATCGTTTGTATTAATATGTCAAATAACTTGACAAAACAAATCAAATATTTTTTGGTATTTCTATAATACACAAGTCTTTAATGCTATAATAGAATGGGAAACTGGAAGTAATTCTTTGCGTTATTAATTTTTCATTATATTCACACTTCCTACTTTGCACTTAAGGCAAGTTTTTGTTTTACTTTGACAGATCAGAAATATCTCACTTTCCTTTTCAGAAGACTCCGGTAGTGTTTTGAGGAAGAATGTTTTTTTTAATCAAGCCTGAATGCCTGATCATAATTTTGGACGATTTCGAATAAAACTGAAACTTTTACTCCTACATACATGCCGAAGATTACAAACTACCGGGAAGTCCTTTTTGATGAGATCTGTATCTACGCCTTGTTCAGTGGGAGTCAGATGAAACACATCCTCATTGATTATATATGGTATATTCGTGACTCATTTATTTTTAGACTGGTCAACAAAAGAAACAATACAAAACAATGTATTTCTGTATGTAGTAGTGGAATTGGACGCACATCACCTAGCTAAAATGTTGACCAATTGATTACAGAGTGTTGCACATGTTTTGTCATCAAAATCTTTGACACGCACAAAAAATGAGAACATCATATATTTGCAAATTTATCTCTTTTGTTTACCCCAAATGTAAAAAAAGTCGATATTCCATCTTAAAACTTGAATTCTAAACATGGGCTGACTAAAAATATTGATATACAGCGCAGATATTTGAATACTTAAATATCATCTTTGAAACTGGGTGGCTATTTTTATCATCACTTCGCACAAAATAAACTTTGACCCCTTTTTTGATAACACGGTATTTTCTCATTTTCATTCTTGTCATATGCACTGGCATCGCAAACAAATGTTTTTCATTTAATAATTCAAAAGTTTTTCCTGTTAATTATATTTTATGATAACTTTGATTTCAAACGTGTGTATCCTTTCTTTCGTTGCCTAGTATATTTTGATGAACTCTAATTTGACGTATTTGGTTTGCCTTAAGTTTCCTTTTCTGTTTTACGCCTGTTTCGCAAGTGTGGGTGCATTTATCTTTGTTTTCCCAGAAAAATCATATTTAAAAATAAAAGATATGTCTGGGAAAATTTACAAGTTTTTTTTTATAAGGGTCTATTTGAGAGAAAAACGAGAACATATTACAAATATCTGCAAGGTCTGTCAAAGTTTAAATGTTCGTTTTGATATAGAATTACCATATCATTATGATCATTACATATGTCGTAGCAACATGCTATATGCATGCATATTTAAAATTTCGTTATTTATATTATCTGCTACTGTTTTGGGATATGGATGATACATATGGGCATACATGTATGTGTGCATGTTTATTTATTTATACTGGGGATCGTACTCAGTATTTTGTTTCTTGTTATTCGTGTTTCAACTGAGTTGATTTATAAGTGTGCATCTTCATTGGCAAGAATGCCAATATGCTATCATTGTGATTACTTGAGATAATCTATATTAAAACTAACTTATTTTTGGCCACTACTTTTTCTGTTTTTCTATAGAGAAGTCCGCCATTTTTGTTTGAGGTATGATCCGAGTTCGCCACTAATGCATACACTAGAACTTCCACCTAAATGTAACAACGGTTTCGCTAATAATCAAACCGATTTTAGTGAGACCTTCGATATAAAAATGGCATTCTCTGGCAAATTTGAATGACTATTCAGGCTTTTTCATCATTTAATCCGTAGAAGAATATTTAACTCAGTCCCGGATACTCAATTTAATTAAGTGATGCTTGACATGCAGCAACGTTCACGTTTTAAAGCTCATAACACATTAATACTACGTGTTATACCAAGTACAGGGACCAAAAAATCATACGGCAATTGTTCATACAAACGGATTGAAACGATTTATTCAAGGTAATATGCAAAGGTAGTACCGACCCGAGGAAGTACTGCTCTGAAAACCATTAGTACACTCAAACTTAATTTACTGCACGACCAGATATCTTATTTTACATTACACAATTTGTAAAACAAATCCTTTATTTTACAATTGTTTTCCAACAGCTATCTGGTTGATAAACGTGTATCTTTTAATATGTTCCTTTTAATATGTTACCTATAGTTGTGTATAAATTGTAGATTTTGATATTTGCTGTGTAAATTCCAGAATTTATACGAATCAGAATCATCGATGGGCAAATTGTGTGACATACATGTACGTCGCTAATGCTTATGTTTTACCTGTAATTCACAAATACATTTTTTTTATCTATTTATTATTATTTTTGTACATATGACAGTCATTTCTATTATCAAAAGTTGATAGATATATTGTTTATTACTTGGTGACCTGTGCTGTTATATATGAACATTAGTCTCTGTCTGTACCATAGTCAACATACACTTTCACTGGAATGTGAAAAATTACCCTGGGATGCGACATCAACACCCAGAACCTGGGCATGAAGTATCAACTGTTTGATCTGTCTGTGCAAGAAAACAAGATGATTCATCGACTCCATTGCATTGAAGACGGTCTATTTTAACCTTAATCATGAACTTACAGAGTACCAGCCTTTCGATCTTTCAACGAAGAAAGGTCACACCGCGACTACCTCGGTAGATACGAGTCATGTGGTAGATTATTCGAAGCTGACTGGTGTTTGAAAGCTGAAGTCAGTAGAAGTAGGATTCTTAAGGAATTATAAGGACTTGTGTTAAGACACACTTTTATTTTTCGCTGGTGTCCCATCGTCCCATATTTCTCTCATACTTCAAGAAAAAGTTGAAGTTTTGTTGGAAAACCGGAAGTATAGTATCCGAGGTCGACCGATACCTGGGTCAAAATCAATCCCCGGGAGTGAGAATTATTGGCAAGGAAGAAGGTTGTTACTTGAATCAGTCTGTTTGGATTCCATCAATAACTAATCAGTGCAAAGAAGAACTTACTTGTCATCAGTGTAATGATTTAAAAAAGAATATAAAAAATAGGTCAAATAAAATTGAGAATGGAAATGGGGAATGTGTCAAAGAGACAACAACCCGACCATAGAACAGACAACAGCAGAAGGTCACCAACAGGTCTTCAATGCAGCGAGAAATTCCCGCACCCGGAGGCGTCCTTCAGCTGGCCCCTAAACAAATATATATACTAGTTCAGTGATAATGAACGCCATACTAAACTCCAAATTGTACACAAGAAACTAAAATTAAAAATAATACAAGACTAACAAAGGCTAGAGGCTATTCAAGCACACTGTTTATCATTGACAGCTTGATTCGATTTACGCATAACGGCAAATATTATTACATGTACATACATATACAAATTGAGAACACATTAGAATGTGCATAGTAAACTCATCGAACCTTTAAACAAACTTATTAGTAAAGGTTATCTTATTAATGTTGTAATAAGATCTTTGAATATTGTTTACATTGGCACAACTATCGATTTTGTCATCAACAAATTAAAACTCAGCTAAACTTGTATTCTTTTCGAATGGTTTTTTGGATTTTATAAATACACATCCACGTTCATTTTCTTTATAGAGATTGCTTTATCTATATATAACATTATGCGTATTTATTATAAGGTTAAATCCAAACTATCCTACTGCCTGTCGATACTTTTATTTTTTGTTTTTGGCTTTTAACTAGCTTTCAGTAACTGCGAGTACTCTCAAATCGAACTTTCGTGTTAATTTGACCTGTTACACAATTAGTAATGCATTATTGTTATTCAATGTTACTTATTTTGTGTTATATCTCGTCTCACAATTTTTAATATGTACCACCTTTGATATTTAGTATTTAGTATGACGATAAATTTCACTGCTGCTCTCGTACTATGAACAACAAATTTATTTATTTTGTAAAAAATATCTCCGTACTCCTTACAACAAAATTATTATATTTAAATTTACCTGTGTACGTTACATTGTTTGTATTTCATTTAACGCCATTTTGTCCAAGGTTATAGTTGTCTTTTTGACATTGTGTCATAGATCAAATTTATTCCTTCAGTGTATGTTTACTTATTTTTGTTTTAAAATATGTCTTTTTGATTCAGTTAAGCCATTTCTATTGATATTTTATAGTGTGTCTACTATGTTGTAATGTTACACTACTATTTCAGGTTAGGGTGAAGGTTGGCGCCTATTAAAATGTTTAAACCCGCTGCATTGGTTTGCACGTGTCCTAAGTCAAGAACCTGTTTCAGTGGTTGTCGTTTGTTGATGTGGATCTTAAGTGTTTCTCGTTTCTCGTATTTTATATAGATTAGACCGTTGGTTTTCCTGTTTGAATTGTTTTACACTAGTCACTAGGCCCTTTGTAGCTTGATGTTCGGTGTGAGTCAAGGCTCCGTTTTGAAGACCGTACTTTGACTATAATTGTTTACTTTTTACACATTGTGACTTGGATGGAGAGTTGTCTCATTGACACTCATACCACGTCTTCTTATTCTATATATTATATAACCAATCACGTGTACGGATAGATACAAATTGCAAGTTGCATCCTTCTTTATTTCTTGTACAATTAAGGGCAAATGTTGTAATTTGTAGGCAATTCGTTATTTGTAGCTCCGTTGTCTTATCCGATCATTTGGTTTTACACGGGAAAGACTGAAAAATATAATCTACTAGTACAATAAAAATTGGCATAGGTCCGATTCTTTAAAAAAAAAAGTTGACAATAATTAATTGATTATTAAACATATTCAAGGAATGAGCTTTTAGTGTTACTAAACCTGTTTCTAAATAAAAAATACATGTACAAAGAATTTTAGCAACTCTTTGTATGTTTGTCGAGACCTGAAGCATGAAGGTTGCAGTAACACTGCAGACAAAGGGTAAAATATTTCACGGGGAAAGTGTGGTTAAATAACATTGAAACCATCGTGCATTAAAATTTAGCTGTTAAACGTGCGTTTGTCATTTCTACTTTGAAATGCCGCTATGCGAAGATCGGGCCATGTTACAGGCCGTCTTTGTTTCGACATTTTCAAACAGAGGTCACGCGACAAATCAACGTTCACCAAAACACAATTGCATGCCTTGGGGAAAGATAAATTTACACTGGACCAGCTCAAGTGGTATCACTAATCCAACCCAAGATACGTATATCCTGGTGTTACAATAACGTAATCAAACAGTCACTGACACGACCATTACTACTGATATCCCAGGTTTGCGTAGATATTTTTGCCAGCCATCCGTAACAGACTTTTCCGACGCAAAATTCGACCAAGTGGAATTTATATTGGATCAGTTTTCCTGAAGGTACACAAAATGCAAGTATTCGTTGGTATTATACATAAATGGATGTGCATTTAGTAATTGGTGCCGACATTGGGTCAGCAATGAGTCACTTTTTACCTCTCAAAGGTTTGATGGCCGAACCAGCGTATACAGGTGTCGCAATAAGCGTTTCGCCTGCTGCCCTCGTACAGTATGTTTACAGATTTGCCAATAGTAGTGTCAATATGTTTGCAATAGTCTACATCAGCAGAATAAACCTTGGAGTACCCAAGGAAATTAAACTGCACGAACATATTTTTCAGCCATATGATCAACATTATTGGGCGACAAAGAAAGATGTTTCGATAAGATAATGCCTGGCCCTATTCAACACAGATAACCATGGATGTTTTTTGTTTTAACTCAGAACAACATTGATGTTTCGATAAGATAATGCCTGGCCCTATTCAACACAGATAACCATGGATGTTTTTTGTTTTAACTCAGAACAACATTAATGTATTGACACGGCCCCTACGAGTCACCGGATTGAACCCCCTAGAACATCTTTTGGACGAACTTGATAGACGGGTCCATCAACACCAACCCCATCTTAATATTGGACCAAATCAGCGAAGGATACCACTGGTCCTTATTCAAGATTTGATTCGATCCATGCCAAGAAGATGTAGTACAATATTAAAATGTTAGCCCCACATTGTGGTCACAATAATTACTGATTTTGTCACCTGAAATTGACCAAATATATCATATGTGACTGTTTTAATCAATTCTTTGTTCAATATTTATTATATTTAAATGCATTTCTTTTTTGTATAGTCTATTAGGAGAAAAAAAAACTTCTGCTTCCTCATAGGCTACATGTTTGTACTATATTGTTTCACTTTCGATAGTTATGATTCAAATTTATTTTAAAATATACTCGCATATTTAAAATCTAAATTAATTTTAACTATCTCAAGTGGACAAATATCGTAACTCATTGGTAACAGAGGGAGAATCTACATGTAAATGATCTTGAATAAGGGACGGAATATGTTTACTGTCACTGGAAAACAAAGGCACACTTCAGAGCTTTCCAACAATCTATGGACTATATTAGAAGGGTTGATGCGAGGGTCGTTAAACGTGGATTTATGAAATAACAGATTCTTATTCACTGTTGTTTGTCAATTGAAATTGCTTTGTTGATAAATTGGTTATTATCATATTTGCGGTTAAAAAAACTTGATATAATATCATAAATGCATTGTTAAAGGTTCGA